CAGGCAGCACCCACACCACACGTTCCATCCAGACGGAGTACAACATCTCCCCCAGAGATGGCCCGGGACTTCCAGGGCTGCTGAGGGCTGCCTTTCACCCACAGGCTTGTGAGCAGCAGCAGACAGGGATCTGTAGGCCCCCACCACTAGAGGGCACACACTAAGCTCTCTGAGTGTCTGTGGAGTGTCTCTCACTGGGTTTGCGATGCAGAAAGCTCTTCCTGCCACTCCATCCTGAGAAGATGGAGATCCCAGCACACCAACTTGTCACAGTGCAATCCTGTCCCTCACTCCAACCTCCCAGCCTCTTCAGCTCCAACCCTTTGACACCACTGAGGCTAGTGAGGAGCAGTCTGTGGCCACTTTCTCTGCAAGACCTGCTTCGGAGGGAGAGCACCCCATTTGGGTGAAGGGGCTATTTGTCAGCTATTGTGCCAGTCTTGTCCTTTAGAGTCCTTAGCCTAAAATTAGTCAGGTAATGAATAATAAATTATTAGGTAATAATAAATAAAGAAGAAAAAGAAGGAAGCATAATGGCAGGTGCTATGAATCAAAATAAAAAAAGTTATGGAAAGAGAAAGTGCAAGTGTCAGGGTGACCTTGGGCAGCCAGGAAACCAGGCTAGGCACTGGTTGGTGACCCTTGAACCTGGTCTGAAGGCAGCAGGGACAGGAGCCCCCTGTGTAGGGAATTGGAGCAGAGGGAGCTCCCTTACTGTGCTTGAGGAGCTGCGAGGGTCATGATGGTTGGAGGAGGGAGCCAAGGGGAGGGAGGAAAATGTTAGCCTGCTGGGGTGAGGTTGGGATATATAATAAATGCTCATTGTTAAAACTGGGTAAGTGGTATAAGAGGAAATATTGTTCTATTCTCTCCACTTTTGTGCATTTTGAAATCTTCTCTAATGCAAAGAAAGCCAGAAAAATTTGTAACTGGCACTTGGAGCTCCAATAGGAGGAGGTGACTCTACTAAGAAATACACTGTGAAAAAATTCTGCACACACAAAAAGGAGTTCAGATGTCACAAAAGAATGACAAACGGTCTCTGCCATACGTCACTTTGTTCAAGGGAAAACTTACCTTAGTGTAGCATTAGATTGTTGAGCCTAAAGTTATGCGCCAGAGTATATGGTCAGGTCACAAGAGGAAGGCCATCTGATATTTGGACTGGCAGGAACTGTGCGACTTGCGTTTGCCTTGGGTGTGTTACTCTTTTGGAAGGCATGCATTTGCAATAAGGTCAGTGATTGAAAACTGAATGAACCAGCAAAGATAGATTTATGAATGCAGGGATCTCCTGAATGCATAAATAGCCAGAGACCATTCCCAGAGAGGGGATGATAAAACAGAAGGAACAGAAACCAATAGAAGAATGGAGAGCTATTCTGAGCCTGAGAAGAGTATGTTAAAGCAGATTTGTATTTGAATTAAGAGAGGGAGCTAAAGCCCAGTCCATGTGGCTCAGTGGTTGATCATCGATCTGTGAACTAGACCAAGCATGTCAAACTCATGGCCGGCGAAGTACATGTGTTGTAGCAGTTGAGACTTTTTCCACCTACCAAGCAGCCATTCAGCTTCAGGAAAACATTATCCATCAACTAAATTAATGTTATTTCAAATTTTATTGGTATATAATAATAGATTAGTCTGCATGCTTTGTCATTTGGGTTTTTGCTTTGTAGGCATAAAAGAGCTATAACCCTAAGGCGGCTCTGCCTAGCTTTATGTTAGCATGTATTTAAACAACATTATAATAAAAAATAATTTTAACACTGCAGGATCCACAAGAATATTTGTTTCTTTCAAAGGGGTTCCATACATTGTTCAAGTTTGAGAAACTCCGCCTAGAGGACTAGGAAGCAGGTTTACAAACTGGCATCTACGTTTGAATTGATTTGAATATTGAATATTGTGCTACTCCCTGTGCCTTTCATTTCTCAAGTCACTTCGAATTCTTATTTTTAGAACGCTTGCCAAATTCTCATGGCCCGACTCAAGCCAGTCATCAAGAAAAACCCGGAGGGAAAGTGGGAGGACTGGGTGAGTGGTCCGCCTTACCCTGCCCGAGAAGGCAAATGCATCTGGATGGGGAGGTAAAGCCCTCAGTGTGGCTGGTTGGCGGTGCCCACGCAAGAAGCAAAGCATTTACTAGCACTCGCTTCTGCTTTTCTGAGAGGGAGAGGGAGTCTGTGTTCATCCCGTGGCTGCACTGAGGAGCCTCGTTTCTAACTGCGTGACAGCGGCCTCGCTCTGCCCTAGAACACACCTGGCAGAACACCCTTCACTGTCACCGCCCTCTTAGCACAGGCTCCTCCCAGCTGCAGGGCCTGGGCTTCCCACCAGAGCAATGGAGATCACGGCAAATACCAAATACCAAAAGGTTACTCTGCTTTTAATAATAATTATCTCAATTCTCATCATTATTATTATCTCCAGCTCTACCCAGTGTACTCCAGCAGGGAAGCTGATGTAATATACTGAGACAGCCAACCAAAGGACATGGAAAAAAGCAGGGTGAAAATACATACATACTACCATGTTTCCCGAAAATAAGACATCCTCCAAAAATAAGACCTAGCTCATAGAAAGATAAGACATCCCCTGAAAATAAGACCTAGCACAACTTTGGGAGAAAAAATTAATATAAGACACTGTCTTATTTTCGGGGAAACGGGGTACATGCAGGCATGCATGCACACATAGGCACTTACGCATATATGTGTTTAAATATGTGTATGTATATATACACCTACCTGTGTACACGCCTATTGCATAAGAATATGGCCTAGTCTCTCCCTCTCTCTAATTTAAAAAGCCAAAAAGGGAGAAAAAATAATAAACTTGACCCCGTGCGGCTCTGGAGGGTCCCAGGGCGCCGCCCTGGGGAAGCACGGCCTGTGCCTATAGGCGGCCTCAGTCTCGCTCGGGGTGAAGGGCAGAGGGTGCTGCAAACAGAGGAGGGGAGCCCAGCACGGAATTCCACTGCTGTCCCCGCACTTACATGTCTTCATATCAACCATCTCTTTCAGATTGAAACAGCCTACAAGGAATCCATCAGCCTGTCCTCTACGGGGTACTTCAGGTAAAGGATGCTTTTGCGTTGGTTTAGATTACACTTAGGCAGGGATGGCGGGGCTCCTGGTGCACAGATACCTGCTGGTTGCTGGCGCTCAGCCTTGCCCCGTGTCAGCCCTTCAGTCATGGGCAGGGGTGCGGGAGGAGAGCTCGGGGAGGCCAAGGGGGGATACCCCCATGGCCTAGCACAGTAGCTGCGTGATGGAGAGTAAGGCTCAGACACCAATGGGCCTTCTTCAGTGTCTGGGCTGGAACCCTTGTGGGGAGGGCGGTCAGGGAGGCCTTCGGTGCTGGGGTGAGCACTCTGTTCATCTCCAGGACCCAGAGCGCCCCCCGGGATCAGGCCTCAAGGGGGGAAGGAGCCTCTCTTTCCCTCGGGTTTCTCTTCGCAGAGACTACCAGACCTATATGGACTGGGAGAAGGGGGAAGGGGAGCCTTGGCCATACTTTGTTTATGGAGCAGTCTGTTCTGAGGTGGAAGTCGACTGTCTGACTGGGGCTCACAAGGTAAAGAGGGGGTGGGTGTTCTCCACTGTCACCGAGAGAGTGTTTCTATGGGCGCGTTTTCTATGTGGATAATAATCACCCTGACTGCCCGTGGGACCCGGGGGCCGGTAGACAGATGCAGTGAAGATCTGTTTTTAAATGATCTTTTCCATCCTGCGTGTTCTCTTGGCGCAGCTCCTCAGAACCGACATCTTCATGGACTCCGCTTGCAGCATCAACCCGGCCCTGGACATCGGGCAGGTGCGTGGCTCCAGACTGCCCCGAGGGGACTTTGGGTCAATTCCATTCAGAACATTATTTCCCAGAGTTCTCCAAATGCTTAAACCTGCTACAGGTACTCTGCAGTATATGTCATGTATTGCACACACACACAAATAGATAAAAAATTGAAAGAAATTTCAAGAAAAAGTTAGCAGTGGTTGTCTTTACGTGGCAGAAATATGTGTCATTTATCCTGCCTTATAATTCTCCCTGCCTTCTAATGTTCTTCAACAAACATTGATGTTTATAATTAGGGAATATTATATAAATGCATAATAATAAAGCCCCATTCATATTCATAGGCACATGAATTTAAGTAGACTGAACAATATAGAGAACTATAAGGGGGAAAGAAATGCTTAAAAAAACAATTTCTCTCTGGCTGAATTTCTGATTTAGATCTCACAAGTAAATTAACACACTCAAAGCCTTTTTAAGTTTTGAATGAAAGCCTTTTCTGCTGTTGTTGTAGCTTTGCATTATTCCCCCGGTAGCCTTCTTACTCAAAATAAAGCCAGCCGCATCAGTGCTTCCCGAACCTGCCAACCAGGCCCCAGCCTACACCTGAGGAGCTGGACAGGTTGAGCACTTGGCTTCAAACCCAAAAGACAGAAATGTGGTTTCATCTGCCAACAGCTTCCTGCCTTCCTGAGTCCTAAGGAGCTGGCTGGCCGAGGTTGGCCAATGGGCTTTTTGAGGGGCCGTTTCATTGGTCCCTCAGTGTTTCTCAAAGTGCGGTCCTCCGACTCAGCATGGAAAGCACCTACCGTGCTTCTTGGAAATGTGGGTCTCTGTGCCCACCCAGGCCCACTTCTCCATCAGAAGCTTGGTGGGCGGGAACGTGTAATCTGCCCATTTAACCTGCACCTGAGATTCTGTAAAGTTTGACACCCACAGCTGGCCTCAGGCCCCACCTCTCCTTCTCCTTCCTATCTGCTCTTACCAGCTTATTCCTGCTTCTTTGTTGCTTAAGCAAAGGCCAAAAGAAAAATGTTATCATCAGAAAAACTCTACATTTGTCCCATTGGAAAAGGAAAGAAAAACCAGCAATGTGTTAGATGGGAACTCTTGAATTTGAATCCTTTCCTTTAGGGACAAGCATTTGGAAGTATCCACATTTAGCATTTAGATTTGTTTACTTCATTCTGTAATTTTACAATTCAATAGAATGCAACATGTAACTCTCCTTCAGTTTTTTAACCTTGAGGCAGATAACCCCTTTATAGGGGACTGTGAACCTTTTTTCTCAGAGTATAATAGTTTGTAGGTAATAGAACTCAAATGGCATTTAATAAAACGTATTTATTTTAATTAAAGCCAGACCTCATAATATTTATAAGCCACTGAGAGCCAGAGTGAAACGAGAGAGAGAGAGAGAGAGAGAGAGAGAGAGAGAGAGAGAGAGAGAGAGAGAGAGAGAGACAGTACTTTGCCAAGTGGAAAAGCTGAGGTGGGGAGCAGTAAAGAGAGAAATTGCCTTTACAAAGAACTGGAGGGTTGAAGGAATCTGGTGGGCTTGGAGAATCCCCCAGAACTTGACGAGTGCTGAGTCCCTGGAATGTGAGGTACCTGGGCAAGAAGAGCTAAGTCTAGAGGGCCAGGCAGGATGGCAAGCACCAGATGCTGAAAGATCCTGTGTAAGTTCTCTGCAATGCTTTCAAGAATGACTTACTATGTATGGTTCAGAGCTCCATTTGCAATCACATTGGGATACATTTTCAACCAACATCATATGTTTATAAACTGTGCCATTTTTGCCTGTAGGTTGAAGGAGCATTTATCCAAGGCATGGGATTATATACTATAGAAGAACTGAAATACTCCCCGGAAGGTGTGCTTTATTCTCGGGGTCCTGAAGACTACAAAATCCCCACTGTCACAGAAATACCGCAAGAGTTCTATGTTACTTTGGTGTGGTCCCGAAATCCCATAGCCATCTACTCATCCAAGGTAAGAATGCAACACCTCTATTCGTTTGCTAGTGCTCCCAAAACAAAATAACAGTTGGGGTGGCTTAGGCAACAGATATTTACTCACAGATCTGGAGGCTGGAAGTATGAGATCAAGGCTTGATTTATTCGGAGATTTCTCTTTGTCTTGAGGATGGCCATTCTCATTGTGTCCTCGCATGATCATCTTTCTATTGTATATGGCACATGGGTCGGATCTCTCTCTCTCCCTCTCTCCCTCTCCCTCTCCCTCTCCCTCTCCCTCTCCTTCTCTCTCTCTCTCTCTCTCTCTCTCTCTCTCTCTCTCTATCTCTCTTCTCTTTTTCTTTCTCTCTTTCTCGGCTTAATTTCTTTTTCTTAAAAGCACATCCTAAAGACCTCATTTCAACTAAATTACCTCTCTAAAGACCTTATCTCCAATTATAGTCACATACTGACTACTAGCGGTTAGAACTTCAACATTTAAATTGCAGGGGAGCACAGTTCATCCCATAATAAACTGTTCCTTCAAGAAATAATGAAACAGTCCCCTGAATTTGCTTTCTCCTTGGAATTGCAGGGCCCAGAGGGAGATGGGGGAGGGGAGAGCAAACTCATGGCAGAGTGGTACTCACTGCCTTCAGAACCCCAAGTGGAGTCTTCACTCTTGAGAAAGATCATGAAATATACACTGAAAGGTCAGATTATGCTGATCTCTGAAGGCATAATAATCTGGCCACTCAGTGTGTCAGTGTGTGTGTGTGTGTGTGTGTGTGTGTGTGTGTGTGTTAGAGTCCCGATGTATGAATTCATTCATGGGTTGGACCAGGGGGAGGGGACATGGGCGGTTGGCTAGCCTGCCTGCTGGTCGGAATCCTGGTTGAGGGGACAATTTGCATATTAAACTTTTATTATAAAGGATATATACTAAGTGGCCAGATTATTATGCATTCAGAGATCATAATAATCTGGCCACTCAGTATATTTAAATAAAATAAGAAGTCAAACATCTTGAATCATGAAGCTAAGTGCCACTGGAAGGTAAAGCTGAAGTTGTAGGCCAATTTCCCCAGCCCAGAGCCTTCTTTTCTGCACCCTTCCCACATGTCCTCCAGACTCAGCCCTTTCTTGCTCCTACTGCCTCTGCCCACTCTCTCCCCAAGTTATAAAGGGCTTCAAACAAATTTCTCAGTGAGGGTGATTTCCTCTGAGGTGTGAATAGCCATTGATAAAAAATAGCCATGGACGCACACGCTCCATGGCCCTGGGGTCTAACTGGCCCATGTAGACTTGCAGCAAAGATTCTCCAACACATGTACAAAAGCACAACTTCTCCAACCGCAGTGCCATTCTGAGCCCACATCTGGCCAGACACATGGCAACTTTAACCTCAGGTTTTCAGGAGACTACCTCTGTTTCCCAGTAGTCAGAGTTGGGAGGAAGATGAGACTTTCTATATGAATAGGTCCTCTCTCCACGTCTGCACAGACTCTGGCCAGGGATATCTCTAAAGACTGTCCTAACACAACCCCGCCTGTTGGGGCCATTTGTGCTCCAAAGAGGGCACAGGACCTCTCTGCTCTCGCCCCCCTCCCCACCTCCCCTCACCTCACAGGAAATCCCTTCTTTTGCCAGCTCCACCTTTTCCTCCACATTTGCCTCAGAGTAAAAGCCACAGCCCAGGGTAGTCTTTATCTGCTTTGGGCCCTTTTTGTTCCATCTCTCTACTAAGGCCCTGGACACAGAACAAGAACCAGACTCCTTTGAAGGAAGAAAGAAGGAAAATCAGTACAAGAAGCAAGGGAGGTTTCTTTAAAATATAATGCCCTCACACTGTTCATTCAAAAGCATCCAGCATTCACCAGAGAAGTGAGCACAAAGAAAGGCAACAAACACCTCACTGTCTTTCAAGCTCAGCTACAAAGATTGTGGTTCTTTTGCTGAGGGTTTGAGTTAAACACAAATGGCCTAGAGCAGCGGTTTTCAGCCACAACACACCAGGTAGAAATCGCTGGTCCAGAGGCCAAATTGAAGCACTCTAGAGGGCACCAAGGGCTCTGGTTTTCTGAACCTGCACAGGGGAACAGGTGTTGTTAGCTGCCCTGCCACCCTGATGTTCTGGGGCATTTTCATTAACTACTCCCCACACACACCAATCGGCATTGGGGGTCTGGGGAGGTCTGGCAATTCAGATGCACCGCACTCTGAGAGTTATAAAGCCGAAGGAGGTGAGTGTGCATGAGAGTGTGCGAGTGCACATGTGTGTCAACACAAATGACAAGTCCTGAAGGAGCCATGCCTTCCTGAATGCCTTCTGCCTTCCTTCTCAGGGATTGGGTGAGGCTGGAATGTTCATGGGAAACTCCGTGTTATTCGCCATCTACGATGCAGTGGCTGCTGCCCGCAGAGAGAGGGGGTTGGCCAACACCTTCCTCCTAAACAGCCCGGCGACGCCTGAGGAGATTCGGATGGCTTGTGTGGATCAGTTCACCGACATGGTAAGGATGGCGAGGAGAGGCCCCTGCTGGGGTCCCTTTTCCATGGCTTTCAGGTTATCGGTATGAATTTGGTATCTGTGACCGAATTCTAGGGCAGGTTCGTCTTTTTCAATGGAAATTCTCTTTTTTCCTCCACTTGCTACTTCCTAGATGCTCTAAAGCAGCTGCCTGTAAAGTGAGTGAACTTCTTAAAATGATATTTCATTGTTTCCAGCTGCAAAAAAAAGCACACTCTACTGAGTCAGTGCTGATAGCAAATGGTATATATTTTCGTTTGTTTCCAGGAGGTTTTTATTTCTTCCTTGATTTAAAAAAAAAAGGGGGGGGGGAGACATCTGTAAAACTTTGAGCAAAAAAGATAAATTTTTAAAAAATAGCAAATGGGCATGGTAGGTTATTTTTTAAAAATTTGGTCAAAATGGAGTTGATGTGGTATTTGAATTCCTTCAATAACCAAATTAGATTAAATATATATCTGATCTACTCAATTATTTGAAAAGTATCTTTCAAGCAAACTAATAAAAAAAATTTTTATGAAAATATTAAGTCACTGGGCACATGTTCACAGAACACAGTTTCATTTTTCAGCTGCTGAAAATACTTCTAGAACGATCAGAGACTATTTCTATATTCAACTGCTTACTGCAGCCGTAATTGAGTCTGGTATAGCATTAGACTGCAGTGTAGGCCTTTGACATTACAGGGCTTCTGGGTTTAAGATGCATTTTATCCCTAAACATAATGAGAATGAGGAGATTTATGACTCAAGAAATGTGAAAATTAATTAGATTTTGGTAAGAATAAAATGGATACTGACTTGTTCTTTTTAAAAACAAATAACTTTTCTTCCGAATTACATTTTTCATATAACAAACAGAAAAGAGATTTGTTTTTCTGAAACAAAAGGAAGTTCTGGAGCTCAGTGCAGTCCAGTGATGCCATCAGGACCCAGGCTGCTTCCCTGGTCTTGCCCCCTCCGGGTCTGAGAGGGGGGGTTTCGGTCTCCTGGTCACGGATGCTGGCTGCTCCCCAGGAGGCATGGTAGAGGGACAGAGCTGAACATGCCAGCAGAATTCGGACATTTTTTTTATTTATGCGGCTCTGAATTTCAGCTTTTATTTTACTGCAGTGATTTTCAGATTTTCTTGTTTGACCCATTTAATACTTTTTTTGTTTTGTTTTTTATTTTTCAGTTACAGTTGACATTCGGTATTATATTAGTTTCAGGTGTACATATATATGTATAACTTATGAAGGGATTCCCCCCCCCCATACCTCTCATACCCAGTTGATGCCATACATCAGTTCTTACAATATTATTCACTGTACTCCCTCTGTTATACTTTACACCCCCATAACTCTTTTGTAACTGCCAATTTATACTTCTTAATCCCTTCACCTTTTTCACCCAGCCAGCCCCCAAGCCTCCTTCCACCTGACAGTCATCAGTTTGTTCTCTGTTTCTGTTTTGTTTGTTCAGTATAACAACACTGTATTAGTAACCATCTGCCTTTGTTTTGTTTTTTTCAGATTCCCAGAGATGATCCTTCAACATTTACACCTTGGTCCATCCGGGTGTCTTAATCTTGTCTTTCCTTTAGGAAATGAAAGAGTTTATGATTGCCCTTAAAACTCTCAAATCAGAGCAATAAATGAGGTATTTCCCAAATATCAATGATAATTCTAGCTTTTTTATTTCTTAATCCTCACCCAAGGACATGTTTTGTTGATATTTAGAGAGAAGGGGAACGGGTATAGTGAAAGAGAGGAACATCGGTGTGAGAAAGAAACATGGAACAGTTTCCTCCCATGTGTGCCCCAACTGGGAATTGAACCCACTATCTTTTTGTGTATGGGACAACGCTTCAGCCAGCTTAGCCACCCAGTCAGGGCAATTTTAGCATTTTTTAATCACTCTCTGTAGTTTTGGTCACTGCATGATCATGTTTCAGGATACAAATTTTCACTAAAAGGTATAATAGAAAATCAAAATTCTTCTTTTCATTTGCGTTATCCTGAAGATCTACAGCATCTTCAGGGGTTTTGTCTTAGTCCATGTCTTATCTTAATAGAATACCATAGACTGGGAGATTTATTTAAAGCACACACACACACACACACACACACACACAAATATTTATTTCTCAGGGTTCTAAAGACCAGGAAGTTCAAGATCAAGGTGCCAGCGGCTTTGGTGTCTGATGAGCCCTGCATCCTGGTTCACAGACTGCTATCTTCTCACTGTGTCTGGATTTGGAAGAAAGGTTGCTGAGCTCTCTGGGGTCTCCTTTATAAAAGGGTGCTAATCCCATAGATGAGGGCTTTGTCGCCTCCTAAAGGCCCCCCCTCCTAATACCATCACATTGGGGGTTAGGCGTTAACAGATGAATTTGGGGAGAACACAAACATTCAGTCCACAGCATGCCATGTGTGAAAGAAAAGAGCCACATGCTAACCTGACAAGCTCAGGGGAGGCCTGCATGGCAGTCTTGCAAACTTAGAAACCTAAAATAACCACAAAAGATGGTTTGAAAATTAAGTATTTAACTACAAACAGGTTATAGTGGGTAGTCATGTTCTAGGCTGATATTTTCCCAAAGATCAAGTTCGATCTTTTTACTGAGATGAAACGGTTGGACCTGGGAGGGGAGGGAAGAGGCCTCATAGTTGATAAGGTTGAGAATGGAGGGTCTGGACCATGGGCACTTAATGAACTATCAAGGTTTACTGAGCCCATTTGCCTTTTTTTTTTTTTTTTTTTTTTTTGCCTCTAAGATAACATATCTATGAGATGTCTGGGTAACTTGTAACTTCCCTTTTTCCGGAGCCCCTGAGGCACAACCAAATATGGTGGGTGCCAGAACAGATATCACAAATTCCTTCATTATCATGTTAATTGTTCCTGCACTCATCTGAGTACCTGTCCACCATTTTACTTTTTATCCAATCTCAGGAGTTTCCCACCGCTTTGCTTTCTCCTGCCTCCTTACTCCATCACCAATGAATTTCATGTAACCCACCTATGTCCCTCCTTTGATTTCATTGTATCAATAGAAATGTAACCCCGCCATTCTTCGAAGCATTATCTCAATCCGTTGAGGTTCTGCTTCCCGACATATGTCAATAGTTTGGCTCAAATAAACTCACAAAATTCTTTACAGGTTTCAATGGGTTTTTTTCCGTTAACACATGCCTACCCACCCTCCCACACCCCAAAATTCATGTTCTCTCAGGTTATGCAGGCAAATTGCTCTCCAACTGTGAACCTATGATATCAAATATGTTATGTGTTTCCAAAATGCGTGGTGGGACAGATATAAGATACACTGTCCCATTCCAAGGAGAAATGGGAGAGAGGAAAGGGATGGCAGGCCCCACGAATGTTCCACTTCTGAAGGCTTGAAAATACTCCCCTTTGGCCTGATGGTCTACCCTTCAGGCCTGGTCCCCAGACTCAGGGCAGGAAGGAATTAGGTGACTCGTGTGGCACTTCTGCCCTCTGCACACTAATGTCAAACGTTCTCCATTCCCCAGTCACATTCCGAAGGACCAACCTCTCCTACAGGCACTAGAGGGGACCCCCCTAAACACAGCCCAAGGCCTCACTGGTCCCCAGCCTCCCATAAGCCCAGCTGCCACCTGGCTCAGCAGAGATGAAATGGTTGGACCTGGGAGGGGAGGGAAGAGGCCTCATAGTCGATAAGGTTGAGAATGGAGGGTCTGGACCATGGGCACTTAATGAACCATCAAGGTCCTAAAAAGTGCCCACTCACTCCTGGTCTGCTCACCTGTGCTCCATCTTCGGCTTTTGAAGAGCTCACAGCAGAGGGCAGCGCACCAAGGACACGGGAGCGGGACCAGTACTTTTCCATTGACATTAGCAAGCAGGATTTGTTACCGTGTGGTGTTTTTCCCCCCAGAAATAGGTTTGTTTTGGTTGCGGGGGCGGGCAGTGTCATTTCCAATATTAATTCCATCATTGGGTACAAGGGTTCTTTGATGTAACTAATTCATGAGACCTTTGTTACAACAAATATACAAACCCCTGAGTCAGGAGGTGGGAGTTTCTCTCACCCACCAGAACAATCCATTTAAAAGTGAAGACATTCAGTCTTGCCTTTTCATTAAATGAAAACAAACAAAAAATCAGTGGTTGTTTTTTTCCATTGTCTGAAACAAGATCAGAGAGGAGTCCTTGGGGGAGACAGCAGCCTGCCTTCGGCTCTGGTCAGCCCGTGGTGGTTCGTGGTGGTTCTTGTGCCCTGAGCGATCTTTAGGCCTCCCAGAGCCCTGGGGTGTCTGAAGGAGAGAAAACCACAGGACTTCAGGCCCCACCCCCAGCCCACCCAACTAGCCTTCCTGCTGAATTTGTTCACACCGCATAAGGTTTCATGCAAACAAAAGTTTCTCTGGTTGGATCAAGTTTGAGAACACCCTTGATAAATAGTTCAAGGTCAGTTTTCATTTCCCAGAAATTAACATATCTGGTTCCCTTAATCCGAAGTGCTTTCATACTTGGTAACTCTAATGCCATCATCTGACTTTAGAGCCCTGAGACCGAAAATGTTCCGCTTGCATTTTCTGTTGGCGCTGGAGGATTCCTTCCTATAAATATTGGGACACACCATGATCTGTGGTTTTGTTGGCAGCATCCCTACTCCTGTAAATGGGAAGCGTGTGCTCTGCATGTTCACTGCTTCCCTCTTTTAAGGGGCAGAGTGAGATGGTGGAGAGACCGTGGACCCTTGAAAACAATGCCTGGATCACTTCTCCCAGGAGTGCAAGCAGCCATAGCAGGGCGTTTGCCTCCACTCTCTCCTTCCCCAGCCTGCCCCGCCTCCATTCCCAATTCTCAACAGAATCAACTCCTACTCATCTTTCAGGCCCAGTGGTCCCTCCCCCCAAAACAAAGCTCCTCTCCCTGTTCTGTGTTCTCACAATGGTAAATATTCTACCTCAGGTTAATTTTCTCTCATATGAACCAACTCCTTGGAGGAAGAACACTGGTTGATCTTGTTTTCCACTGTGCCTCTACTACTTAGCATATGGCATGGCACAAGCTGGATGCCCAGTATCTACTGGGTAAATGAATGAGTGAATGAAGGATGCCTTCTTCATTTAAAGTAATTTTAGATAATCAGTCTAACTCTTTGCAGCCACGGAAGAGCTTCTTCAGTCACTCAACAAATACTTATTGGGCATTTGCTCTGTGGTGGCACAATCCTGGGCCCAGGGATACAGTGACATCCCTGCTTCCATTCTAGTAGAGAAGGCAAATGAGGTGAACAAAACTCCACATCAGGTCATGATGAGAGCTCTGGAGAAAATGAAATGGTGGTAGAAGAGAGCATGATGGAGGTGTGACTTCCGACTGGGTGATCAAGGAAGAGCTCAGACCTACATAAGAAGAAGGCACCAGTCATGCCAAAGTCTGAGAAAACAGAACTCAAGGCAGAATACATAATTTGCACCAAGGCCTTGGGACATGAAAGAAATGAGCACATTCAGGAAGCAGGGAAAAGACCAGGGTGGCTGAAATTATGAACAAGAGAGACAGCGGTTGGAGATGTGCTCACAGAAAGGGGTAGGGCCAGTCCCAAGGGGCCTCCATGGAAAGCTTATGGGGTTTGTTAGGTGTGTTGGGAGGTCAGTGGGAGGTTTCAAGGAGAATAATCATTGAGGCAGAAGAACGATGAGAAGAGTAGTAGTTTTTGAAGAGCAAAAGGGCTTAAAGCCAGAAATAGGGACAGATCTTGGAAGGCTTTGCCTCTGGGCCTAGGAATTTGATCCTCATGTACCAGGCCTCAGAGAGTTACTGGGCTATTTGCAGCAGAAATAGAAAGATCGAAAAAATCTGATCCAAGACCCTACCTTATTCGCATTGTCATCTCCAAGTTCTCTCATAACCCTGTTGTGGTGTATAACACATGTGAAACAAACAGACACACACACACACACACACACACTCGTACGTAAACACTCATCTCCACAAATGCACGAAGTGGAGAAGGCCTTGGACCTAGACATTGAGTTACAAAGAAAGTTGGCAGCTTCCAAGTGCATTTGGTTAAAAATGTTTCTGGACTAGCTCTGCGGTGGGAAGGATTCTGAAGCTACATCTCGACCAAGAGGAAAGGTAGATCTTCCTTAGTTAGCCAGGTCAAGAGGATACCAGATGTTTGTTGTCTCTGGCCTGAGGCACTGTCACACAGTGAGTTTGCCTTAAGACAAAGGATTAACTCTCACCATGGCATGTCAGGGCTCCACACACTCATGAAGGAAGTGGGCTGGGGGACAGAGAGGTCTTGCCTCCTCTCCTGAAACTACTTGAGCAGCTACCTGCATCGCCCACAGGTGAGGCCAAGTTCTGGGTATTGCTTCAGTTGAAAGAATAAGAATTGCTTGATTTGAGCTCCAGACATATAACTGGAGACATTCAGAAAGATCAAAATGATATTGTTCTTTTGATCAAGGAATCTGTCTATACACCCCCAGGTGTTTAAATCCAGAAGTCCTTGGTTATAGTTCCCACTTTGCCACTTATGTTCTGCATGATCCTGAGCTACTGATCTTACTTACGTGAGCCTCTGTTTACTTATCTGTAAAGTGGTTGCCTTGACTACATCACTCTTTGCCAGTGGACCAATCCTGTGGGTGGGGAGGAAGTAGAAAGGGTAAAGAGGGGCTGGGTGGACGCAGCACCCAACACCTGCACTTTAGGGCACAGATTGGAATTGTCTATATGACTTCCTACAAGGAGACATTTCTGCAATCAGAATGAGATTAGAGGTCCACTCCTCTCTCTTTGAGAAGAAGGAACCCATCCAGGGGCTGAGGCAGTGTACAAAGTGGGTTTAAGCTTAAATGGTTGTGGATGGTTTTCACACTGAGGCCCTCCAACCCCAGAGTAAGCAAGAAGAGGTGTGGGCCATGCACAGAGCAGGCTTTGAAGCCAGGATTGGTGGGAGGCAGAGTGAGGCACAAGGTAAGAGGCGGGACTACACAGCTGCTCTAGACTTAAAGGGCCACGAAGCCAAGGAGTCTGCTCTCTGGACTCCAGCTGCCAGCTTCCACACAAGGAAGGATTTCAGTGCTTTGACCTGAATCCTTTGTGCTCAGTCCCGTGCATGGTGCCAAATAGCATAACCAACCGTAAGGTGAAATCTGTTTACAGGTGGGATGCTTGGCCTGTCGCGATCTGATGAGTTGGTTTTCTTTGTGAACGGGAGGAAGGTAAGTTTTATGTGTTACGACCAGGGCTTGAGATAGCAGGAAACTACTAGCTGGAGGGCATCCTTTGTGGCCCATTTAGGTTGAGACCCCTCCAGACAGGGTCAGGAAGCCAGGGACTGCAACCCATACTAATTTGGCCTGTTCCCCATTCAGTCACGGCTCTGCCTCTGGGATGTAGGGGCGACAGTAAAGCATTGGGATTAATCGCATGTGCCTCAGTATCAGTATTTGGTTCCAATCCAGCTCTGCCATTTCCTGTATAAACTTCTGCAAGTTACTTCTCCTCTCTGGGCCTGGGAGTACCCTTCTCAGAAGCCACTTCCTGCGGCAGTTGTCAAGATTAAAAGAGAGGTACTTCTTTCACTGATTAGGACTCCCCTCGAACTTGTAAATCACTGAGCAATGAGCCCCATACACCAGAAGTTCTTTATCTAGTAGGATATGTTGATCCTCAAACTCAGGAGGAGAAGCAGAGCTTCCTTTTTCTCTTTATCAATTTAATTTTCCTGTTGAGTCTCCATTATACAGAATTGGGTAAAATGTAATTGCAGTCCATATTGGGTCTCTTCTTTCCCTGGGCTGTAGCTAAGCTCCAGGGAGAACCTACCGTATTTTTCGGATCATAAGACGCACTTTTTTCCCCCCAGAAGTGGGGGGAAAAAGTCCCTGCATCTTATGGTCCAAATATAGCCTACACATATACTTTTAAAAAAAAGTTTTTTTACTTGCCCGGCTCTGTGTGGTCTCTGTGTGCTTGCCCGGCTCTAAAATGGTTCTAAATGCTGCTGTTTACTTTGGGTTGATTACATGTGTTTATGACTGTGATGTTGGGTTTTAATGCACATAAAATATTTTAGGACACTATTTGTTTCAGAATCTTTTTTTCTTCATTTCCCTTCTCTAAAAACTGGTGCGTCTTATGGTCCGGAGCGTCTTATGGTCCAAAAAATACGGTATATGACAAGGAGAGAGGGTCTCCCTTTGTCAGTCTCCCTAGTATTCCTCCCTCCAGTCCTCACCATCCATCCACACAGTCAACCCTCAGTGCCCAGGCCCCTTCCTCTCCTGAGTCCCTCTCTGATCCTTAATGGGACCATTAAGCCACCTCCCACAGCAGGTGACTTCTCTTGGGTCTCACCACCTGTCCTTTAGGGCCCCTCAGCTCTCTATACCCATAAACCTAATTGGGATTCGGCCATGTTCACCCATTGCCCAGCCCAGGACTTGGATCAAGAAAAGAGTCAGAACATGGAAACTCTAAGTTCTCATCATTTCCCTTCTAACTCTCTCTCCATCCTGTATCCAATCTCCCCAGCCAGCAACCACCAGACATTCTTCCAAAACTATCACTTATGAGTCGAGTCCTTACTCGCTCGTTCCACTGCCCTGGACTTCAGAGGCTCCTTCCTCTATTTTCTGTTCCACATCCTCTGTGAGTCATGAGCCCCAAAGTGGTTACAACTAGAACAGGGAATAAGCTGAGAGTTGGAGAAAATATAGATGTGTGTGGTGGGGGTTGGAGTCAGCTAGAAAAGAAAAACATTATCCAACCACATTCCCAGTAAATATTTTTGAGGGCCCTGGGGTGGGAGGAAAGTGCAGAGGAGGGCTTCTTCTTTTGTTGACCAGGATCTCCCTAGAGCTCCAGAAAGCGGATGAATTTTATTTTATATATGTTGATTTCAGAGAGGAAAGGAGAGGGAGAAGGAAACAGAAACAATGATGAGAGAGAAAATTGATCGGCCACCTTCTGCATGCAGGGCGTTGGGCCTGCAAGCCAGGCATGTGCCCTTGACCCTTCAGTCCGCAGGCCAGTGCTCTGTCCACTGAGCCAAACCAGCGAGGGCACGAAAGCAGATGAATTTTAATATCTCCACTTGGAAGCATCTTCCTGTACTCTTTTTATTCCTAGAGGTCTACACTGGGTTGTGTTTTTCTTCCAGGGAGAAGGGAAGATCTTAACATGATTAGCTGTATCTGTCTTTCCTATGAGGCAAGAGAATGGCTGGAGGTGTTTGCAGGACAGTCAAAGGAAATATCCCCAAATAAGCAAATGAGAGAGAAGCACCAAACAAGTTTCCTCCATGACTTTTAGGGAGAAATCCCCCACTTTTTTTAAAATATATATTTTATTGATTTTTTTTACAGAGAGGTAGGGAGAGAGATAGTTAGAAACATCAATGAGAGTGAGAGTCATCGATCAGCTGCCTCTTGCACGCCCCCTACTGGGGATGTGCCCGCAACCAAGGTACATGCCCTTGACTGGAATGTTACCTGGGACCTTTGAGTCCGCAGGCAAAAGCTCTATCCACTGAGCCAAACCGGTTTCAGCGAAATCCCCCACTTTTTAAGGTGAGGGAGGGAGAGATGCTAGGGTTCCACCAAAGCCACCTGGGGTCCTGTGCTGGGCCCACAAGACTCACCATCACCACTTACCACACTGGAATGCCCTGGGGCCTCTCCTGATGACAACAGCCTTTTCTGCCTCCCCTTCCTGCCACCAACTCTTAAGATCCCTGATGTTACTAAATGGATTCCCCACTGGGAGGGGTGGAATAGAAACTCAGAGGAGCCAGCATAGCAACTCTTCCTGCCCAGCTTTCTTTCCTCCAGGATCCTTCATTAACACATGCATACACACACACATGCACGTATACATATGCATACGTACACACATGAATACATATATATACACATACATATACGCACAGACACAACATCCAAGTCTCTCCCAGGTTAAAATATTTCAAGAGTAGAAAAAGACTTGGTTGGAAAATTCCACAAAAATAGACAGTGGAGCGAACAGGGAGAACACGGCCCCAAGGCCCCTTGCACAGCAGTGGTTCCAGCTCTCATCACCTCACAGAGGCATAGTCGCCACACTTGCTTGGTGAGCCTCCTGCTCTGTAAATGTACAAAGGTCGTTTGCCATCAGAGCACTAAAAAGCAGGAGCAGCCGAAACCGATTTGACTCAGTAGATAGAGCGTAGGCCTGTTGACTAAAAGGTCCCAGGTTCGATTCGGGTCAAGGGCATATACCTTGGTTGCGGGCACATCCCCAGAAGGGGGTGTGCAGAAGGCAGCTGATCTATGTTTCTCTCTCATCGGTGTTTCTAACTCTCTATCCCTCTCCCTTCCTCTCTGTAAAAAAAATCAATAAAATATATTTTAAAAAAAGAAAAAGCAGGTGCAGATGAAATCAGGCCTAATATTTTACCCTATCCCTGAATCCAGCTGGCCGCAACAGACGCTCCACTGGGTCATTGGTTCAGTCTCCATAATAATCTCTTTTCTGGTTTCACACAGGTGATAGAGAGAAATGCGGACCCAGAAGTCAACCTGCTGACCTTCCTACGAAAGAACTGGACCCTTTTGACCACAGTCTTGGCTGTGTCTGTGTTTGCCTTAAAAGTCAGGCCTGCTGTGATGATGAGAACTAATCAAACCCTCCATCCCCAAACAGTCAGCCCCTTGGCCCTTGCTCTCTCTCTGCTTTGGCAATGGTTTTAGGGATATTAAGTTACCTGGGCTATTTACAGAGGATGAAGTTTCCCCAGAGTGTCTCCTATCTTGATCTCACAGAAGTGAAATACAAACTAAGCTCTGTATTTCAACACTAATTACTCCTTTAAGAGCCTTCTGGTCCTGGGAGGGCGGTTATGCAATAGAGGTTTGTGTTTCGTGCACCCTGCCCTGGAAAGAAACCAAGTTTTCCGGATTCAGGAAGAACATGTGTCATAGAAAAAGACCTACGTCTGTTTCCTTATAGGAGATTTTCCCTCACCATTTTATATTCTGAAATTTAGGTCATCATCAAGGCAAAGATATTTTTTTTATATATATATTTTATTGATTTTGTACAGAGAGGGAGAGAGATAGTTAGAAACATCGATGAGAGTCATCGGTCAGCTGCCTCTTGCACACCCCCTACCGGGGATATGCCTGCAACCAAGGTACATGTCCTTGACCGGAATCGAACCCGGGACCTTTCAGTCCCCAAGCCGACGCTCTATCCATTGAGCCAAACCGGTTTTGGCAAGGCAAAGATATTTTAATGGATAAGTCTGATAGGTCACTCAGGGATGCAAAAAAAAAAAAAAAAAAGACAGAAATTGCAAATTGAGGGAATCGTTCCCTATACTAGTGTTGGTTAAAGCTCGCCTGGATTTAATTAGTTGTCAATGTTTGAAAATTAGAAAGTCCTATGGTTTTCAATAACAAGGTTTTTAGCTTCTCATGAAAAATGGGAAGCTAGTCATTCCTGTGTGGCTGCAGTCTGGCTGAGAGGTAAGTAGGGACTGTCCCCAGGATGCTATGGAAAGTGGGACATAAGCTCTCTGGGTACACCCAGCCCACTCCACTGGTTCACCCGTCCTCCCTGATAGCATTTAAGGCTATGACAATTTAAATGAATAAGCCCAATGAAGTATATCCAATTTAAATGAATAAGCCCCATGAAGTATATCCAATTCCCTAAATTTTGTGGAAATGGACCACAATTAAAGAAATGGCTGATGAAAGACAGGGAGCAGAGGCTGAGCCTAGACCTGTACTTGAACCTGGACCAAGCAGGAACAGGACATTCAAGGTGGTTTATGAAAATAAGGGCAGGGGTCTTCTCTGAACGCTCAGTCACTGGCATTCAAATGCAATACAAACTACTGGGCAAAAACTAGCTATACATTGAACTGCTCACAATAAGTTCTCTCCCAATTATGTGATTAGAGCCTAGAAGAGTACCCATAATGAAGTAGACTTTTTTTAAATGTTTTTTTTGACTGGCTTCTTGTTCCAGCATTACAATGGGTTCAGCAATCTAAAGAAAGGCTGTGTAGATTAAGTAGGAGTCCAGAGACGGAAGATAATTTTGAAAGGCATTGGGGATCAGAGGAGCTTCAGCTAAAGGTGTTAAAGACTCCCCTTGTCTCAGAACCCTTGGTTTTTATTGACACAATTTGTCCTAAGGCAAGGTGGAGATAATACACTTAAAAGGGTAAGGTACAGAAGCACTATCAGATTGGGGAGTAGCCTACAGCTGTTCAGCTGTTTGGCCAACAGGAGGCAATAGCATGTAGATTGAGATGTCCTGAGCTGTCTGACAACAGACAATCATCCTATTCAGGTTTGAGGGAAGTGCCCTTTAGCCACTCCAACAATTATAATTGGAGTGGTAATTATATAAGTGACTCAGACTTGTAATTATGACATGCTGGAATTGGCTCCTGGCACTTTTACTTTTATATCCACTATCCTCTAAGCTGCTTATGATAAGCATGTGAAGATGATGTGGATATCATTTTCCCGCTTTGCAAATGAGAAAACAGGCGGTGGGGGGGGGGGGTGTAATAGAATGTGTCACACAGCTGACACAATATGGAGTGGTCCTTACTGAAACCTGGAAGTGAGTGACTTCTCAGACGTGCATACTTGTCTTTCCTTGAGAGCGACATCCTAGGCAGGTAGCTATAATAGAGGCCCCAGGCCCACCTGAGCATCTTTTTCTATATATATATATATATATTATTGATATTTTTACAGAGAGGAAGGGAGAGGGATAGAGAGTTAGAAACATCGATCAGCTGCCTCCTGCACACCTCCCACTAGGGATGTGCCCAAAACCAAGGTACATGCTCTTGACCGGAATTGAACCTGGGACCCTTCAGTCAGAAGGCCGATGCTCTAGCCACTGAGCAAAACCTGTTGGGCATCTTTTCCTTGACCACTTCCCTCCAGTAGGCCTCACAGGAACCAAGTATGCCTGCGGCAGAGGAGGCTGCGGCGCCTGTACCGTGATGGTGTCTAAGTGCGACCCTGTGTCCAAGAAGATAAGGTATCCTGCCCAGAAATCCAGGGCTGGGAAAGGGGGGAGGTTTTGTTTTTTTGCCAGGCTGGTATTCTCATCTCAACGATAAGGAAGATCTCCAAGGACCTCCCAACCTCTCGATTTCACTATCTCTGGATCTTAGACCCTTCCAAAATCTGATAACAGCTGTGAACTGTCTTCTCAGAAAATGCATTAATTAATTACATTTTGCACAACTTTCAGGAAGATCATGGACCTCCCACGACCCATCTGTGCATCCCAAGTTAAGAAACCCCAATTTAGACCAACCACTCATTTTACAAATGAGGAAACTAAGGCTCAACAATATGTAGTGACTTGTTTAAGGTCATGCAACTAGTAAGTCATAAGACAAGGACTTGAACCCACCCTTTTTGGCTGACACTAATGCCCTTCCTACTGTTGGGCTGGACCAACCCTGCGGAGCAGGGACCTGAGCTATCCTTAAATTAAGGACTAGATTCAAGAACTTTGGTTGTTCCCAAATCCACTGGCCCAAGAAATGCCTTCAGAACAAAACCATCCAACATGTTGAGCGACCTTATACAGGGAAGTTAAAATTAACAAGCAAAAAAAAAAAAAAAAATCATGAATATGGGTAAAAGGCATAGATGTGCCTTTGGCCTGTGATGTCCTAAGGAATACCTGTTGAAGGCCAATACTACTCCTGATGACAGAAGCTCATTCCTGTTGAGTCCAGACCCAGGTAGTCTGTCTGGGCTTGGAAAGTTTTATGAAGTTCAGAATGCCCATCTTTCTCTGGAGGATCCCCACTTCTTGAAGATAGCACTAAGTCAGCAGAGGGGACTCTAAATTCTTCCACCTGTTCCCCCGCCCCCGTCCCCCCTCCCCCTGTCCAGTTCTCCATCCCTCAGGCTGAATGATAGGCCTGGAGGGTAGGAGGGTCCCACTGCCCTTCTGGGTCCCCAAGTTCCCCAGGATGCAGGACTTGATTTTCCTTGTACTTCTCATTCAAAGACACTTCTCTGTCGCCGCATGCCTGGTGCCCATCTGCTCTCTCTATGGAGCTGCTGTCACCACTGTGGAAGGTGTGGGAAGCATTAAAACCAAGCTTCACCCTGTGCAGGTAAGAGCATACGTTAACGTTCTCACTTCTTGATCTTCTTTCTGCTGACTTGACTGTGCTTCCTGGGGCTTCTAGGAGAATTCTTCTCACTCTGGGGATGGAGGCAGCATGCTGCTAATTCCCAGTGAGAAAGATCTGGGCATTGGAGCTTGAGAAATGATTACAGTGAGAGAAAATGGCTTTTGAGTCACTTCTTCCTGGAGCAGAGTAGGAGAAGGGACACTGGCCACCTCTGATGGAGGGGAGACGTGCACTGCTGAGGGAATGAGCTCTACCCTGACAAGAGAGATGCAGGATGTGGAGCCTGGTGAGAGGTGCTGGCAACAGGAAGGCAGGGCCTGTGACCATGTATGTGTCCTTGCAGGAGAGGATTGCCAAGAGCCATGGCACACAGTGTGGGTTCTGCACACCTGGGATGGTGATGTCCATGTACACACTGCTCCGGAACCACCCGCAGCCCTCAGAGGAGCAGCTCATGGAAGCCCTGGGAGGTAGGTTTGACACGGAGAATACTCACCACCCGCAAGGCCAGGTGGGTGGGAAGTGTGCCTCACGCTGTTCCACCCCATCCACAATGTCACCCCAGCCCCACTCAAGAACCCCTTTGGTTGTTTCTAAAGTAGCTGCAGTTCACCCCGGAGAGAAGAATGGGTCTGTTTTAACTTTCCAAAGAAACCAGTAAAAATAAAGCCTACTGATACTCACGCCCCTTATTTTATCAGGTAATCTGTGCCGCTGCACTGGGTACCGGCCAATTCTTGAGAGTGGGAAGACCTTCTGCGTGGTGAGTAGTGACCATGGGGACACCTTACAGAGTAAGAATGACAGTGGCCGCTGGTCAAGGCTGGGAATTCAGGAGTTGACTTTTTAAAACCATCTAAACGGACTATAAGGGAGAAAAGTGAGTTAGCTCCAGCTAACTCCAGGGAGTTTTAGCTATTTGTTGAGGACAAGGTAAACATCACACCTGCTTTGATGTCCCATGTCACACCACAGAGGGAAGCCAGGTGATCTAAGCAGGCATCTCCCATGATAGTTAAGCGAAGACTTAGAGCAGGACAGGTTGGAGGGCTGCAGTGAGCCCAAAGAGACAGGCAAAGGCATGGAGTTGGCTTTAGGGAGGCCAGCTTTATTCCAAGAATCCAGATGGTCAGACAGTTGGACAGTCGCTTAGACATTTATATATGATACTTTATATATCTTCTATATAAGTTTTATATATTCCATATGTATCATTTTACTTTAAAAATAAAGTGGAAAGAATAAAGACCTTGCCGTGATCCTTTTCTCAATAGAAATTACCAAAAATGACCAAAAAAATGTTGTCTCATTTAAAATGCACATGCCCATTTACCTATAAAAGAAAGTTTCTCATCACTTCCTAGGAGTCGAATGGCTGTCAGCAGAAGGGAGCAGGAGAGTGCTGCTTGGATCAGGGAGAAAATGATTCCTCTTCGCTAGGCAGGAGCAGCGACGTGAGTCCCTGTATTCGATTTGTCCTCCCGCTGAGAGCACAGCTCCACACGGGCTCATTAGTCCTGACGCTCATTCTCTGCTTTGTTCCAAATGTCCCAAGTGCCTGCACAGATAAAGCACTTGTCACCTGGGAGGCATGTTGGGAGGTGATTCAAAGTCTGTGATCTGACCTTTCTCTTGGCTCTCAGGGAGCCTAAAACTAAACAAAAGCCCACTCAGTTCAGAGAAGAAAGGTCAGCCTGCGACATCCCAGTCACTGGCTTTGCTCTCTCAGAGACACGAGTTTCCAAACAGACTCACTGCCAAGTTCTTAAATGAATTATTTGGAGAAGCCGGAATACAGGACAAATGAGGAAATCCAAGAGAACAGAGTCGGCCTCAGAGGAAACTGAGTCCCTCGGACCTACCTTATTCCCATTCTTGGCCTCCCACTGTCCCGGCATTTTGGTCTGAAGAAGGCATGCGATGAACAGAAGGGTGTTGCAAAGGAAAATAGCTGCACCCCATCCCCAACCCTGAGAGCATTTCACAGAGAATTAGTGCCTTGCAGGGATCAGTACATTCAAAAGTCTGATTCTTAATCTGGTGGCCTTGGGAATTCAACCCGGGCTCTGGAAACCACCTGACTTACTTTAATCAACTCAGAACAATATGGTGGGCCCTGATATTCCTTTATAAAGAGGAACACAAATATGAAGCAGACCTTACCATCACGGAGCCCCATGTCCTTCCCTGCAGAAAGCACACACAGGAAGCCACAATTCCAGAAGCTTGCTTGATGAGCTTGGGTGCAGAGCAGTTAAATCACCTTAAGGGTCACATTACAGAAGACCCCCTCTTCTACCAGGGTAGACCAGATGTCTGCCCACACCCGCTCTTCCCTGGGAGCTGTTAACATCTTCCACTGGATACCTGTTAGTTCTTGGCTCAACATCTGTGAGGGGGAACTCTTAATCCCTCATTATGTTTGTTTTACACTTGAAGTCTCAGACACAGTTTTCTTTCTAGGTTTTAGAGATACACTACATCATTGCTCCTAGGTACTGCCCACACTTCTAATCCCAACTCACACAAAAACTGATCCTTCAGATGCTGGCCTGTAATGCTTCAATCCGGGGTCCTACTCAGAACCTTTACAAGGAACAGGGCATGTTTTCTCTCTAGATCCTGAGAAGACCTCAGAGACAGAAAAAAAATGGACAGTGTGAGATAAATGTCAGGCCATTTATCTAAGTGTCACAATTATCCTTCAAAATATGCATTATTTCTATTTAGCCTTTCCAAGGAAGAACCTTTCCATAGGGAGGTCGGAGTTGTAGCAGAGCTGAGAATGAACCCAGAGCTGTGTGCCCCCAACTTCTCCTCATGCTCTACTCTCTTACTCAGACCTCTAGCCCTGCACCGGCAATGCTTCCCCAATTTTCCTCTCCTCCGCGGGAATGTTTTCTAGGAATAAGTGTTTCCAAAGCTGAAACATTTTTCATTTAGAGAAGATTATAGGTTGGGTAACTTTTCATTGAGGTTTTGTTTCCTAATCGTTAAGATGGAGATGATAATTTACCTTCTTTGCACAGTTGTTGGGAGGATTAAATAAATGACTAACATGTAAAGCACTTGGGGAAAAAGTATTTCATAAATGTTAACTATTACTGTTAAAAATTAGTGGAGTGTGCATATGTGTTTACACAGGGGCATGTAGATGTAATTTTTCTTAAGCTACAGGACTTCTCGGAGCTTTTAGCATTTTAAATCCTGACTTGACAGATGAGAGGATAGTGGTTTGAATCCCAAACTTAACCTCTGATAGTTTTTCATAGATTCTACTGATGTTCCACGGGGTACTTTTTGAAGTATCTCATAGAACAACCTTTTCTTCAGTATCATACTAGTGGTAAATCAACATTTCTCTCTTACAATAAAATTCTTAACATAAATTGGTTCAAACCATTTCCCATAAGAAGAGTAGGAAAGTTATTTCTAAGCTCATGTTGCCTGATTAATGTAAATTATTGGAGTGCTGTTCCCAGTCGAGCTGGGCTGACCGAGCCCTCTTCTTCTGCCTTTCATAAAGATTTCCACAGAGTTATTTGCGAAAGAAGAGTTCCAGCCCTTGGACCCTACCCAGGAGCTCATATTCCCCCCAGAACTCCTGGTAAGATGAACCGGGTGTTTTATGTGTTGTTTAAATGTCACTGGTTATAAACTCAGTTGTCCAAACTACCCTTTCCTTCCTGTGAAATTTGTCAAATCATGGAAATGTTTGATCAGATCAACATGTTTGTCCCTGCTCAGCTCACCAAGCCCTGCTGTTGCCCTCAACACACACCCCCCAAAGCCTCAGCTGAGACTATTTTTAAGTGACATCATCGTATGTGTCCCTGTTGACTGTCCCAAGCCATACAGCTTTGCCCAACCCCTCACTTGGTCTTTCTGGCCACTCCAGTACGTTAAACCTATGGAGCACTTCCAGCCAGCCACCCCCTTCCCTCACCCTTCAGCATCTCCATCTGTCCTCTCGGCACCCAGCGGTGCAGTTCTACAGAATCCCTCACTCTGAAGGGGTGCTGGTGTTTATCCATGATGTAACCACTATTTATCCTCCAGCCATGTGCCAGGCACTGCTCTAGGCACTAAGTGTGCTTCAGGGAACAAAGCTACATAAAGACCTGGAGGAGTCTGGGATCTGGTGGGAGAGACAGACAATTAGCAAAGTAAGAGATACAAGTGAGAAGGAAGAAAAATAAAACAGAAAAGAGGAATAGGATGCAAGGAGTTGCAATTTTAAATACTCAGTGAACGGAAGACTTCTCTGAGAGGTAACATTTGAAGAAAGTCCTAAACTTCAGGACCTAAAGGAAGGGAGGAGCCAGCCATGAAAATACATGGGGAAGAGCAAACCAAACAGTGGGCACAGCAAGTGTAATGGTGTGAAAGATGGGCACATGCCCCCCTGATGAAGGGACAGAGCAGGGACCAGCGTGGCTGGAGGGAAGCCGGGGGAGGGGGAGAGGGGAAGGGGCACAGACCATACCTGATTTATGGCTTTTACTCCCTGTGAGATGAGAAGCTATCAGGGAGGCTGGACACAGGAGGGTTATCTCCTATCAATGTTGTCACAGGATGTGAGGTCCGGCTGGCTGCTGGGATGGGAGTGGCCTGTGGAGGGGCAAGGGGAGAGAAGCAGGGAGCCCAGTCAGGGTGCTGATGGGGGTGCGGGACCAGCTGCCAGAGTGCAGGTGGTGAGCAGCAGGTGGAGTCTGGAGATACTTTGGAAGAAGAGCAGACAAGATTTCCTGGGGGCGGGGGGGGGGGTGATGTGGGTGTGGGACAGAGAGGACACAAGGCTCGGGGCAGCTGGAAAGTGGCCATTTACGGGGAAGGAGACCTCCGGAGGAGCAGAGCATTCTTCCTTTGGGAGGATTCTTATTGGGTCTTGGAAGGGGATGAAATATGAAGATCTTGGTGTGAACGTATGGAATTTGAGATGCCTATTACACACGTAAGAGTGGATAGTAAGTAATCCTTCAGGTACATGAGTTTGGATTTTGGAGGAAAAGCCCAGGCTGAATATATTAACTTAAGAGCATTTGTGTAGTTATGATTTTTAAGGCCATGATACTAAATTATGTTAAATTACTCTATACTGAAGGATCAATGACAGGTGCCAGTTCATGTTGTCACCTGTCTCTGAAGAGCTACCTAAAAACCATGTTAAGCTAAAGGAGTAAACCTCTAGTGATGGGAATTCAGTCATTAGCCAACAGGAGTTGGGAGTACCTTTTTGGTCAAGTGGACCTTGGGACTCCCAGAGAGGAACATGCCTCCACCCAGGATCTTGCCTAACTCAGGAAGACAGGTGTGCACTCACTTGTCATTTGCATGTAGAGACTGGCAGAGAACCCAGAAGAAAGAACCCTGACCTTCCATGGGGAAAGGGTTACCTGGATCTCCCCTGGGGCCCTCAAGGATCTCCTGGAGCTCAAAGTGAAGCACCCGGAAGCGCCTCTCGTCCTGGGCAACACCTCTCTGGGTGAGTGAGTGCAATGGTGCTCAGGCCACCATTAACGCCAGGCTGCACTTACACCCCTCCTCGGCTCTCATTCCAGGCACTGCCTTTTTAGGAGAAAAGCCTCGTCCTTTAAAATAAGAATACTGTATGTTAACAATATATTACAAAATATATGATGACATTATACATAAAGACTATAATACTTACATATGATTATTCATATCTATAATAATAAAAGTGTAATATGCTAATTAAACCAGCCGTCTTTCCAGACGACCTTCCAGACAAAGCCAAGGCTGTGAGGGAAGCCCGGGTCCCGGGTGCCAGAGGGAAGCAGGTGTCAGCAGCCGGGAGAAGGAAGGTCTACTCTTGCATGAATTTTCATGCATCTGGCCTCTAGTATAATATAATATGTTTGTATTGTACTTTTATATTATTGCTATAATACATATAACCCATATGTGTATAATTTATATATAATTACTAGAGGCCCAATGCATGAGATTTGTGCAAGAGGAGGCCTTTCTTCCCCCAGCTGCTGGCATCGGCTTCCCTCTGGCACCTGGGATCCGGGCTTCCCTCCTCCAGCCGCCAGCAAGCACCTGAGACTGAGGCTTGCTTCCCTCCAGCCCTGGCTTCGTCAGGAAGGACATCCGGAATGACGTCCAGAGATGTCTTGTCTAATTAGCATATTACCCTTTTATTATTATATATCATATCATATCATATCATATCATATCATATCATATCATATCGGTCTCCAAAGTTGAAGACTCTAAGAGTATTCAGGGTAACCCCTTGAGGTGTAGTGGGGAGGTATTACAGGTTTGAAGGTTTGTTTGTTTTTTACCATTTACTCTATCTTTTTCTTTTTTATATTATTTTTGCAAATAGTGAGTAGATATAGCAGAATTTTAATTTGTATGTATGGGTATATTAACAATGTGCACCCAGTTATCATCCACACCCAGTCTAAGAATGAGAACTTGACCAGGAACTTTGAAGACCCTGTGAGCTCTCCCTAACTCAATCCCTCCCCTTCCTGTGCCCATCCATCCTCCTTCACCTCCTTCCTCTCCCCTCCCTTCCCCTCCTCTCTCCTCTTCTACCCTCCCCTTTTCCTCCCTTTCCCCCTTCCTTCCCCTCCCCTCCTCTCCCCTCCCCTCCCCTCCACTCCCTTCCCTTCCCTTCCCTTCCCTTCCCTTCCCTTCCCTTCCCTTCCCTTTCCTTCCCTTCCCTTCCCTTTCCTTCCCTTCCCTTCCCTTCTTCTCCAAGGCACTCATCAGCCAGTATGTGGTGCTGGTCAGTCCCTTCCATGTTTTTACAGGTTTATCACATAAAATTTAATCCCTAAGCAAGACATCACCTAGTTTTATGTACTTTTTGAACTTCACATGATTACATTGACACGGTATTATGCTTCTGCAGTTTGCTTTGTTCATTGAACATTCTTGAGCTGAGATTCGCCCACAAGGTTGCGTGTAACTGTGCTAGGCTTCATAGTATGGCTGTGGCACAATTGACTCATCCATTCTATTGCTGAAAGACATGGAGTGCTTTCCAACAAAGGCTTTGAATATTACAGATGTTCTAACACATGTCTCCTGGTGCCCACATGCAAGAGTTTTCTAAAAACCTCTCATCCATTTTACTTCCCGTTTTTATATAACCATGCAGTGAGTGTATAAATAAAAACATATATTGGGAGTATATGTGCTATCAATTTACTTGGCTGGGTATATGCCCACTGCTTTCACCTCTATATACATATATTATCAATTTTTAAATTAGTATCTGAACATTTTAATGAAAAACACCCAATGCCCCCCCCAAAAAAGGCATTTTCTCTTTCCTAACTCTTTCTATTTTATATATTATATATATATATATATATATATATATATATATATTTTTTTTACTTTTCAGGACCTTCAATGAAATCTCAAGGACATGTTCACCCAATTCTCCTCTCTCCTGTGAGGATTTCAGAGCTGAGCATGGTGTCTACAACTAGTGAGGGTGAGTTCCTAGTGTTCTTATAAAACATCAACCATCCAATTCCTGCACTAAACTTCCACTTGCCAAATAATTTGGAAGCTCCTCATACACTTGTGTTGGCTGGCCTATTGCCACCTCTTCATCATGTCTCTGCTATACATCTTACCATGACGCTTTGCTATCAAAGCCATTGTACAGACTATGAGGTATTCAGATGGCATCATTCAATACCTTGTAGGCCCCTGCAGGACTCTTGCCTGTTAGATGCCATGGTGACTTAGAGACAATACATTTGCAGCATCACTTGAATGGGAAGACAGCAAGAGAGAACGGCTGTTACCCATCAGTTGGTTGAATTCCAGGGACTAAGGATATTTGCAGGGTAGAAGCAGGAGAAATGTTGTCTGGCACTCAAATATTGATACTATTTTGTGACTTGGGGACAATGGCAAGAGGCCAAATGGGACAAAGATCTGCCTGGACAAGCACCCTGGTCACTTGCAACATCCGAAAGAGCCCACTCTGCGCAGATATCATCAGGCAAGGTGGCTCTCACAGCGTAGAAGGAAACATGCAAGACACTGCCCTCAAGATGCAAAGTTCCCTTGACAAAAGGAACTTTATTTTACTCTTTTCTGCATCCCCCAGAGCTTCTAGCCTATAAGTAGATGCATATTAATACTGTACATATGTAAGTGCTCAGTCATTGACTTACTGGGGGGAAAATACACACACACACACACACACACACACACACGAATGAGTTGATCAGGAACTTGAATTTGGGATGCAAAGGAAATGATAACTTCCTGAACTTCAGCAACAGGAGGCTAGCTGAACCGAAAGCAGGCCACGGTGTGTTTGAGGGGGTCAGTGGTGGGCAGCGGTGGGAACCTTCCTTGGCTGTATCACCTCCATCCAGTAGGCCTAGCTTCCTGGCCTCTAACCATCGTCAGCCAAGCTTAGACTGTGCTGCAGACCAGCAAGCCCGCCTTCCCTGGTCTCACCCCAACCATGTGCAAGGGAAAGGGACCTTCCTGGTTTTGCTCAGCACCAGGGCTTCTGAGCTTCAGCCTTGGACCTACGCAGGCAGCACACCTGCTTGCCACTCGGAAAAGGAGAAGAAGGGAACCGGTCTGCCCCCCTGAAGCTGGGTTTGTTTTTTTCCGGATATTGATTTTAAGCTGCTTATTAAGAAACCAGATCCGTCCCCCTTTCCTGCCCAAGAGACTTTGACAGAGAAACCTGATTCAGGAAAGAGAGCTTATGAGATCGCGCTGGCCTGAATTAACTGTGGTAAACAGAGGTCTTCAGACAGGGGCCTCATAGCCAGATACCCGCTGTGTCCCATTTTTTTCTGAGTCACCTAGCAAGAATTCTCCTACTGTGTGTGTTCAGCTCTCCCTCAACCACCTGTAAATCGCCCATTCTCATTTCTGAAATCTAACACCTCATTCTCCCCCTTTTCTCCTTTGTCTCTTATATACCCAATGGAGCCTCACCATCTTTGGAACTTTTCGCCTATGTGAATTCTCCATGTGCATATATTAAAACTTGATTTTTCTCCTGTTAATTTAATTATTAGCCCAGCCTAGGGCAAGTTAAAAGATGGGATGAAATGTACTCTTTTTTTTTTTTTTTTTTTTTTTTTTTTTTTTTTTTTTTTTTATTAGCTCTTACAGAGAGTGGAGGAAAATAGTAAAAGGGGTGGGTTGGGAGTTTAGACTACTCGTTTAAGCACAAGGTTCAGATGGAAAGCCCTTCCCTAATCTTCATCCCAGGCACCCACATTTTCCAAACTGTTCTTTAGCACCACAACCCTGACCTCTAACAGATCTTAGAATAAGTACCTGGAAACCAATTGCTGTTTAAAAAAGGGGAAAGCTTTCTTGCATCCTTCCTATCACTGAGCCCCTTATACCTGCCCCTGAGCGGGGTCTTCAGAGCACAACCCGCAATCCTCAGTGTAACTCAAGGCCCTCCTGTGATAGATGAGGAAGCAGAGAATCAAAGGGACAGTGCAATTGACCAAGATCTCTGAATTGGCTGGAGGCCGAGCCACAGGTCTCCCGCTTCCAAATCAGAGCTCCTTGATTACTGCCATTCTCCGTCCCCCAGGCCCACCCCAGGCCTGTGCCATTGGCTGTTGCTACGGACCAGACCACTCCGTTTGGATTCTGCTGGTAAATTAGAGCCAGATTCTGCAATCTGAGGAAACAAACCCGCGCCTTTCTGGGGGCCTATTAAAATTAAAGTGTGAGCGCCCTCTCGTGGCCATCGGGGATGTTTCCCAGGATTCTCAACCTTTTCCTAAGGCCCAAGAGTGAAGGACACTCACTGGTGGGGCAGGGTAGTCTGGAGCCACATGTGCCCCCTACCCTACCAGCACCCCGGAAAATAAATTCCTGTGATGTCATATGTTTGTTCAAATGTTGCATGCTAACCTATGTCATGGGCATGTTTAGCTCACTATACCTTTTCCCCTCAAAATCTTTAGCACAGCGAGTACTCCAGAAAGTCACTGAATCTTTATCCCACGGATGCAGGAACTCCGAAAAGCATGAGTTAAAACAAAACCCACATCCTGAGCCTCAATCCAACTTAAAGCTCTTCAACTGCACTGAAATGCAAACTAGGTTTTGTGACCAAAGGTGGAATACAACATGAATATAAGGACAGTAAAGAGATTCTCTCCGTATAGTGGTGTCTTGCTTAGCACAAAGTAGAGGGTGGTGTGAGCAATGGAAATGGCCAAATAAAAGTCCCCGGGGGTTGTGTGGCCCTGAAATGCCATCAGGTGTATCCCCCTTACTTACAAAACATCTTTCTATAGCTTCACTGCGGTTACTCAGGAGGAGGTCAAGGAAAGTTCTATTGAATAGTAGGGTCTGCTGCCTGCTAGATGTTCCTGTCATTCCTTCTCTCTAGCTTCTAGTCCCTTGCATCTGTTTGAACAAGAATGTAGACCAGCCCTCGCTGGTTTGTCTCAGTGGATTGAGCATTGGCCTGCAGACTGAAGGGTCCTGGGCTCTGTTGCAGTCAAGGGCACATGCCCTGGTTGTCAGCTTGATCCCCAGTAGAGGGCGTGCAGAAGGCAGCTAATCAATGATTCTCTCTCATCACTGATATTTCTGTTTCCCTCTCTCTCTCTCTCTCTCTCTCTCTCTCTCTCTCTCTCTCTCTCTCTCTCTCTCCCTCCCTCCCTCTCTGAAATCAGTAAAAAAATATATATTTTTTAAGACTGTAGACTAGCTCAGGTGTCCTAACCCTGTTGCACAGAACCACCTCGAAGCCTTTGAGAAAGCCCCAGGCCCACAGATTCTACTTAAGTTGTCTGGGAAGGGGCATCTGTGCTGTTTTCAAGTTCCCAGTGATTCAGCCAACATGGAGAGCCGTGTGCTAGATGAACACTCAGACCCTGGCGTCATGGTGACCATTCAGCGGCTCCTCCCAGGTCCCCAGTAAAACCGACTTGCTTTCCAGGACTGACCATCGGCGCCGGCTGCAGCCTGGCCCAGGTGAAGGACATCTTGGCTGAGAGGGTGTCCGAGCTCCCAGAGGAGAAAACGCAGACCTACCGCGCCCTCCTGCAGCACCTGAGGAGCCTGGCGGGCCAGCAGGTCCGGAATATGGCGGTATGTCCTCCGGCCCAGCCATCGGGCACCGGGCATCTGGTTCTCAGTCCCTCTGAGATGCTGAAATCGGCATGGGCAGAGCCCGTATGCACAAGGGTCTCCACGGGCACGATAAATACATGTGTAACAGTTAACCAACATTACTTAGTAACAGATGTAAAGGAGGACTCGAAGTCAGGTTGGATCCAATAGCCTAGTTCAGTGGTCGGCAAACTCATCAGGCAACAGAGCCAAGTGTCAACAGGACCACGATTGACATTTCTCTTGAGAGCCCAGTTTTTTAAACTTAAACTTCCTCTAATGCCACCTCTTCAAAATAGACTCGCCCAGGCCGTGGTATTTTATGGAAGAGCCACGGTCAAGGGGCCAAAGAGCCACACGTGGCTTGAGACCCATCGTTTGCCGACCACGGGCCTAGTTGCACTGTGGGTAGGAAAAGGACTTCATGGTTTGCTGATTTTATGAGAAAACTGTCCAAGAACCCAATTCCGCCTGAGGCTGCATTGACGGAAGCACAGTCCCTGAAATGAGGAGGACAGCCTTCTCTGCTCCGGGCAGTCAGACCACAGCTGGAGGGCCATGCTCAGACCTGGGAGACACAGGTTAAGGCCGTGTCATTTATGAGAAAGCAGGAAAGACATGGTTAGGTTTGCAAAACATGCGTGCTCCCTCTCCTGCGTACCCCAAACGGTGTGTGAGAGCCCCTTGGGGTACAGAGACTTGGGGACGGAGCACCTGTTTCCTTTGAAAAAGCTCTTCAGGTGATTTCAAAATCCCCGACAAGAACCCCAGTGCCCGGGAGCCTGGAAGGAGATGGTGCAGGAGAGGGGGGGGCTGGCCACCGCGTCAGGAAGAGGACGGTGGGGGTGGGACAGTCAGAGGAACCATGAGAGCTGCCTTCAACTATTTATCGGCTCCAAAGGACGATGGATTCACTTCCTGTGATCAAAGGGATGGAAGTGTGACCGACTGGAGGCCGATCTCAACTCAGTGGAAGTGAACACTCCTAAAATCAAGCAGTCCGCAGAGGAACTGGGGTTCCCTGTCCTCACAGTGTTACCGCCCAGACCACGGCACCGCAGGGTCACCGTGGACTCGGTCACTGGGAGGGGGGAGGGCACTGAGGTGAATGGCCAGTCAAGGCGCTCCCACGTCCTGAGACGCTACACAGGCTCAACCCACCCTGCGTGGAGTCTCCCAGTGGTCTGGGTGCCCCGCACGTTGGCATGCTCACGTGAATTCTGTGATGTGGCCATGGCTGGGTGGCGGGTGGGGGGTTCAGAACTGGCCACTGAGCACCGCTGCTGGGGGTTTGAGTCCCACTCCGGCCCCCCTCTAGCTGAGAGACCTGGGTCAGGCGTCACCATTTCTCTGTGCCCAGGGTCTCCATCTGTAGGATGAATCTGTGGGGACGACATCCATCTCACAGGCTGCTGTGAGGATGAGTGAATGTGTGGGGAAAGGAGGGCAGCGGGTGGGACACCCCAAAAGTACGGAGGGTGGGTTACCATCCCTCCCTCTCTGGGTGCTGGCCTCCCGGGCAGGGTGAACGGGTCCCCCAGGGCCCTTTCGCATAGGCAGGTGCCTGTGGGCAGAGGGCATGGGGGTGGACCGGCCCGGCTGTAACTCTCTCCCCTCAGTCCTTAGGGGGACATGTCATCAGCCGGCACCGCTGTTCGGATCTGAACCCAATCCTGGCGGTGGGCAACGCTACCCTCAACCTGGTATCCGCAGGTGAGCTATCCCGGAGCACTCCCAAAGCACCCAAGGGGGGTCTCTGTCCTTTCTAAAGGGTCCTCTTTACGTCGGAGCCCCTGTCCCTGGCTCTCGATGCCCATGGGAAGCGCAGGCTCCTGCAGGAAGGCGCGTGGATGGGGTGGCACTGCCCCACGGGCACAGGCACCCGCCCTGAAACCCAGCCTGTCTGATCTTCGAACGGGGGCACCTAACTCCCCCCAGGGCGTCTAACTCCCCCTCCCCATCCCCTCTCCCTCCTTCACACACAGCCCATCACACCCCCACTCCAGCTGTCCACCCCACTCAGCCCATCCGTTATTTACCAGCCGTGGCTGACACGGGCGCCGGGGTCAGGGGGAGCAATCACAGCTGCCCCGTGTGAACGTCACGGTTGAGTCCGACCCAGAGTTCTGTCCCTGGCCCCATCCCTGCCCGGTGGGAACCCAGAGCGCAGGGAGAGCCCTGGGGGCAGGGAACAGCGCTCCTGTGCCCACCAGCTCGCATGGGGCCCGCGGAGGGGCTTCACCCCTGACAGCCCTCGGCCCTTTGGCTGAGTCCTCCGGCCTGTGGTCCAGGACGACCCCAGTTGACCCCCAGAGACCAGGAGAGAAGAGACAAGACTCTGGGGCGTCAGGATAGGAAGGGCAGCGGGGCCCACAGCAGCCGCCTCCTGCACCGGCTGCAGGAGTGGGGTGACTGACTGTCCTCCTGGGCTGTTGCTTGGTGGTCACCCCAGCTCCAGGACTCTGTCCTCCCAGCTCTGCGAAGCACCCGCCCCAGCACAGCCCAGCTCCAGAAGGCCAGGTGTGGCCTCGCTGACCAGCCCCAGGAGGGCCAGGGGTCGGGGGAGGGGGGCCCATGGGCGCTCCTGCCCCCTCCCCACGTCTGTACAGCCGGCGGGGTGCCGCTTGTGCCAGGAACGACCCTGTCAGGGTCTCTCTCCTCCACACACCTCCTGCGGCTCCCCAACCCCCCTTTGAAAGCCGAGGGGACCGGGACCGTTCAGTGACAGGACAGGGCTGAAAGGAGGTTTTGTGCATTAAGAGCGTAGGTATGCGGCTTAGGAGCCCAGGGCAGCAGCAAGAACGAACGGCAAGCCAGCTCTGTTCCCGGTGGGAACTCTGTCCCAGCGTCAGGGGCGCCTGCCCTGGACCGCAGAAGTGACCGAGTTGGTTTAGTTAACCGGCCTCTGCTGACAGTTAACTAAACCCGCACAGGCCCGGCAGCGGGGAGGCTGGCTCCCACAGCTGGTGTGCGAGGGGGTTCTGCCACCACCACCCCCATCCCCCCATCCGGCCGCCCCCCCCCCCCTCGTTGGAGGGAAAGGAGAGTCCTGACTGTCACACGCTCTGCCCTCGCCACTTGGCACAGAGCGAGGTGCCCTCCTCTCTGCAGTGACAGGGACAGCACGGGGCACTGGCTCCTTGTTGCCTCCGCAGAAATGTCACTTCCCCACAGGAGGCGCCCGGCAGGTCCCGCTGGACGAACACTTTCTGGCCGGGTTGGCGGGTGCAGACCTCCAGCCAGAGGAGGTTCTGGAATCCGTGCATGTCCCTCACTCCCGAAAGGTAAGGCGCCCGCCGCTCCCGGGAGCTGCTGTTCCTTTCCTCACCAAGTCCTGCCTTCTGCTCCGGACGCGCCCCAGGCCAGGCGGCCGGAGGGGAGGTGTTGTTGGGGCTGTGGGTGCGGCCGCTGAGCTGCGGTCCCTGCTTCCTCCTGCTCTCTGACCCGCTCCGCTCCGGGAGCGAACTCCCTGGCGGGGAATGAATGTCTGTGCGGGGCCCACAGGGACAGGGAGGCCGGCCGGGCCTCCACCTCCCGCTCCAGCTCCCCTGCTGTTCACAGAAGGGGAGCCGCCAACACCTGCCCACTCAGCGTCCCTGGGGTGAGGCGGCCACCCCCCAGCTATGGTGGGGCCTTGTCCTCACTCTGTCCCCTGTGCCTCTCCCCAAACTGTCTGAATCCCAGAGGACAGTCTTCCCAGAGAGAGGCAAAACCACACACACACACACACACACACACTCTCTCTCTCACACACTCACACTTACTCACACTAACACACACACACTCACACACACTCACACTTACTCACACTAACACACACACACTCACACACATACTCACACACACACACACACACACACACACACACTCACTCATACACACTCACACAGTCACACACACTCACAGTCACACACATACTCACACACACACTCACACTCACACACATACACACCACTCACACACACTCACACACACTCACACACACTCACACAGTCACACACACACTTACACGCACACACACACTTACACTAACACACTCACACACAGTCACACACACACAAGCTCACACACACACACACACACACACTCTCGCACACTGATGGAAAGTGGACTGAGCAGGAAGTCTTAGAGCGTGGCACGCTGTCAGCCACGCATGCCCTCGTTTATGTTTCCTGTGGAATGAAAACTGACGTGGTTCCCAGTCCAATGTGCCTCTGCGGAAAGGCCCGGGCAGAAGACCTCGAGGTACACACGCACCCTCAGGGCCACCCCGCTGGGGACACAGGCCGTCTCCAGTGCCCACGTCAGCACCAGGGCCCTGGTGCAGGAGGCCAGCGGGCAGCACCGCCCTCCTGACTGGCCCGGACACGGCTCCCTCGCCCCCAGGGGAAAGTTCATCCCGACCCTCCAGAGCCGCGCGCAATGGGAGGGGTGGCTTCTGCAAACCAAGAAACGCGGCCGCGCTCCTGCACGCTGGGCAGCTCGTTCGGAAAAGTTCTGGTGTGGAGCCAACCCACACGGCTCAGGGGTTCGACCTATGAACCAGGAGGTGGCGGTTCCATTCCCGGTCAGGGCACATGTCTGGGTTGCGGGCTCGGTCTCCATTGGGGGCATAGGAGGCAGCCGATCCCTGATTCTCTCTCATCATTGGTGTTTCTGTCTCTCTCTCCCTCTCCCTCCCTCTCTGAAACCAATAAAAAGTAAATAAATAAATAAATAAATAAATAAATAAATAAATAAATAAATAGAAGCAAAGCAAAGCACTGGTGTTAGGAGGGCCCTCCACCCTCGCAGGGGACTCGGGGCCTGAAGACTCGGGGAAGGGCCCCTGGAAGGAAGACACTGGACAGGAGCCAGCCGTTCTGTCCTGGCCTCGGGGGAAAAGGGTGCAGGGCCCCATTCCTGGAGGAGACCGGGCATGGGGCGGGGGGGGGGGGGGTGGGGGGGTTTTGCAAAGGACACTCCTCAGCCAAGGCGCCCTCACACGGTGCCAAGTGCCCTTTGGGTGCCTCTCCGTTGGGGCTAGGAGATGATCGGTGGCGCCGAGGGGCAGACGCCGCGCTCTGGGGCTGACAGCGGCTCCCGGGGCCTTGCCTCCGCAGGGGGAGGTGGTGGCGGCCTTCCGGCAGGCACAGTGCCCGCACAACGCCTGGGCCCACGCCAACGCGGGCATGCGGGTCCTCCTCCAGGCGGGCACCGACACCATCGAGGACCTGAGCATCGCCTTCGGGGGGCTCGGGGCGGCCACCGTCATCGCCCGCCGATCCTGCCAGCAGCTCCGGGGAAGGTAAGCAGGGAGCCCTGCGCCCAAGGGTGGCCGGATGGCACAGAAAGGTGGAAATTTGGCTCAGGCGAGTGTGTGCAAAGCCCGGGAGATGGAAACTCCTGTGTGGGAGGCAGCACTGCCTGTTCTTTCCATTGCTTTGCTACGTGAATCAGACCTTTCCTGACGATGATTAAGTAGGTGGCACTTGTTGGACGAGGAATACAACGAAAATGGCAAGGACTCCCCCAGCCCAGGCTCTTGTGACACCAATACTCCAGCCAACGACCACCTGGCAGCGACCTGCGGGCACCTGCACCCTTCTGCTCGGGCGGGGCCAGCTGTCTCTTCCTCGGTGGAAGTCCCAGTCTGAGTCGTGTCCAGTTCACCGTGGAACTGGCCCTCGTGGCCGATTTATGGAATGCCAGGTTCCAGCCTGCCGTGACCCTCAGCCCACTCCCTGCCTCGGTGTCCCTGAAGGGCTTGCTTAGGTGGTTTCTAGACGCCCTGCCAACTCAGTAAGGCCCTGGCCAGTTTGCTCAGTGGTTCGAGCATTGGCCCACACACGGAAGGGTTGCCGGTTCCATTCCAGGTCAAGGGCATGTAGCTGGGTTGCAGGTTGGATCCCTGGCTAGACTGGGGTGCCTGCAGGAGGCAACCAATTGATGTGTCTCTCTCACTTCGATGTTTCTCCCCTCCTCTCTTCCTCTTCTCTTCTCTTCTCTTCTCTTCTCTTCTCTTCTCTTCTCTTCTCTTCTCTTCTCTTCTCTTCTCTTCTCTTCTCTTCTCTCTCTCTCTCTCTCTCTCTCTCTCTCTCTCTCTCTCTCTCTCTCCTGCTTCTTCTTCACCTTCTCCTTCTTCTCCTTCTTTCTGTCTCCCTCCCTTCTACTGTCTCTAAAAGAAAATCAGTGGAAAAAGTATCCCCAGCCTAGCCAGTGTGTCTCAGTGATTGGCCATCGACCTAGGAACAGGAACTAGGTGGTCACGGCTCCATTTCCAGCCAGGACACATGCCGGAGCTGCAGGCTCGATCCCCCTCCGCCCCCCAGTGTGGGGCTTGCAGGAGAGAGCCTATTGATGATCCCCCCACATCACTGATATTTCCATCTCTCTCTCCCTCTCCCTTCCTCTGTGAAGTCAATAAAATATTGTGAAATAGGTGAAGGAGCACCCACAGTTATATATATATATATATATATATATATATATATATATATATATATATAATCCCAGGTGAGGATTAATAAAACAAATAATAATAAATAAAATAAATAAATAAATAAATCCTATATAATAAAAGAGTAATATGCAAATCGTCCCCTCCACTGGGAGTTTGACCAGAAGGCAGGGTCGGCCCACCAACCACCTGCAGCCAGTTCCCCCACCCCACTCCACCCCTGCCGGCCAGACCCCGCCTGTGCAGGAATTCATGCACTGGGCCTCTAGTAAAAACAAATACAAAGGACTCGGAGTCTCTAAATGACCACCAAGCCACATTGAGCACGGGTCAGGGTCAGGCGTTCTGACTGGTCCCCTGTTGCCTGCATCCCACCAGGCACTGGAACGAGCTGATGCTGGACGAGGCCTGCCGGCTGCTCCTGGAGGAAGTCTCCCTCCCGGGCTCGGCCCCGGGGGGCCTGGTGGAGTTCAAGAGGACTCTGGTGGTCAGCTTCTTCTTCAAGTTCTACCTGGCAGTGCTGCGGACACTGAAGCTGCCGGCAGAGCGGCCCTCTGCGCCTGTAAGTGCCCGCGCTTGCCCAGCTCCTCGCAGCCTGTAGCTCCCTCCCCACTGGCCCGCCCCCTTCTGCACACTGTCCTGGGGGCACCCTGGGCCGTGGCCTGCGCCTGTTCTGGGTCACAGCCAGCCAGTTCCTAGCCATCCTCCCTCCCAGATTCCGGGGACTCCGGGCGCCGGACTGTCTCCAAAGCCACAGGTGGTTACTGTGTGCCCTGCACAGTGGAACCTTAGGGTGCCCCTGCCTCGGGGTGCAATTATTTTTCTTTCAGTGTCACTTTGGAAAGTACAATCACACGCAATGAAATGCACCTGCTGAAAGTCAGTGAGTTTTGACCAATGTGTAAACCCACAGAGCCACCCCCTCAAACAAGAAACAGGGCATTTCCGTTTCCCCAGCGTGTACCCTTTTGTCCCCTTACTGTCAACCTCCCACCCACGCCCCCGACAACCAGATTCCAACTTCCACGTGGAGTGTAAAATGAAACCTTATTTTTCTAAAATACTAAGATGTATTTGCATGCTAATTTTGAAGTAGCTTCTTGCTAGATGTTCCTGATTGTAAATTTCTGGAGTAATTAAGCCAAACAAAGCATTCTCTCCCTCCCTCCCTTCCTCCCTCCCTTCCTCCCTCTCTCCTCTCTTGACTGTGGTCACAACCCCCTCCCTACCTTGTACCCCCTGACCCCCAGCTCCACCCCAGCAGCTCAGCGTTCCTAAAGTGTCTCATTCAAATCTACTCGGATGAAGACCCTCACCAGCCACGTGCCCCAGGAATTTAATTTCTGGATTAGGACACTTGATGTGCTTAGTGACACCCAGAGGGCCTCCCATTTTACTTCTCTCCCGGAACGCCGAGTAGCTGAGAAAGGCAACAGGCCGTGGGCTCTCGTGCGAACAGTGAACTCCAGCTCCTTCTGGGGTGGCTTACCTGGCCCCAGCTTTCTGGCTTCTCCCTCTGCAGACCAGCTTGTCTCTCTTCCTTCTCAGGGTCACCTGAGGATCCGCTTCAAACCAGTTGGTCCAGTTCCTCCTTACAGGGGAAGAGAGGGAGGGCAAGAAGCTTTCACCCAAAGTAAAATCCTGGAGGCGACAGGGATTTGGGTCGTCCTCCCTACACTGACCATGCAGTTCTGTGGGTTCTGTAGCCAAGTCCTTCTTGCATAAACCAAAGCCCAGTTTAAACACTGACTAATCAGTTTATCGGGGTTCTTTTGACTCTTCGCCCAGGACGGCCTTCAATATCCTGAAGTCTCAGAGCCCTTCCTAAGTGCGCTGGAAGACTTCTCGGTCACAGTGCCCCAGGGAGTCCAACAGTACCAGGTCAGTGAGTGTGATTTAACGGAAACCTAGACACCAAGCGATAAATGAACAAGCAAACCGTTGAGAGTGGCGGTGTGAGTCCTGACACTGTGTCTTGGCTGCACACTGGCCCTTTGTTTGGGCTGAATCAGGGAGATGCTGGCTCTGAGCTTGGGCCTGAGCCACCAGACCAATTGATTTGTCCGGGCCTGAACCGACCTGGAATAGTCTGGCCATCTAATCACTGCGGCCTCTTCAAGCTACCCAACGCTGTCCTTTGGGCACTGGTTTGAAGAGCGGCTCAGCCAGGTGTGGGGGAAGGACAGCCCAGGAGAGAGCAAGGTTCAGCCTCCAGCCCTGATTGCAAAACCTTTCCTCTCGTCAGCAGAACGAGAGCCCTGCAAGTAACTGAGCCCTCCCTCTTCGCAGGACAACTTGGAAAATGTTTACAATTATCTAGAGCACAGCCCCTGCCCCCTCCCCTTCTCCACACACCACACACCCACCTGAGTTCCAGAGCGAACATTTGTGCCACTGCCTTACCCGCCCAGGGATGTTTCTATGCCCCTTGGAGGGCAGCCAAGGCACTTGGTCTGGATCTGGGTGGGCTCCATGGCCATTTGCTACCCCCTCCCCCACCAGAGGTCCTGCCTTGGGCATAGTTTTTGGTCCCTCCCCCTCAGGAATTGCATCACTTTAGCCTTCATCATCATGATCCCTTACATGTGAACAGGTGGATTACTGGGAAAGCCAGAGAGCAGGACAGGGAGATAGACCCCTGAACTCCAGAAGAAAGGGGTACAGTGGTACTGCTTAGAAAAGGAAGATGCCAAAATAAGAAACGGGGGTGCTCCTTCACCTATTTCACAATTTTGCCAAAAAGTTGGCCCAGCAGAAGGTATTGCCACATGACTGAAATGACCGTTTCCCAGGGTAGTTACATCATTAAATTGTCGTGCTCTTTATCGAACCCACTGCAGGGTTCATTGCCCAAGGGTGGCTGTGTGTTCTCAGCCCTGAATCGGGCGTGTGGAGAATTGTCCGGGCCACTTCTGAAGGCTGAGCTTTTCCAGGGTAACTCTTGTCTTCCTCTGTAGAGTGTGGATTCTCGCCAACCCCTCCAAGACCCAGTGGGACGTCCCATTATGCACCTATCAGGTCTCAAACATGCCACAGGTGAAGCCATATTTTGTGATGACCTCCCCAAGGTGGAAAAAGAACTTTTCATGGCCTTGGTGACCAGTACCAGAGCCCATGCAAAAATTATGTAAGTGAAAAGCTTTCAAAAAGCCTGTGAAACGCACATGATGAGTTTTAGTGATACCCCGAGAGCCTTCCCACTTTACTGTTCTCCCAGAAGAGCCAGGGAACTGAGGATTTCCTCGGAGGAATGTGCCAATAATTCTGCAATGTCCTAAACCCAATGGACCTAAAATAGAGGGAGTAAAGATCACACACCAAAAAAGAAAAAGAAAAGGTCTCTCTCTCTCTCACACACACACACACACACACACACACACAAAGGAGAAAAAGAAAAAGAAAAGGTCACCAGCCCAAGGAGGAGAAGGGAGGATCTCTGGAAATGACCACCATGGAAGAGAAGACAAAAATTGTAGCTGAGGGTTTCTTGATTCCATTGTAACCTCACAGTACCCCAGCTCCCTGCTGAAGCCTCAGGCAGGGCTCAAAGGAATAAGTAGAGCAGATATTCAACTGGTGATAAAATACTGAAATACTTCATTACTAAATGGTAATGGTCATATCCTAAGCTCCCTAAGGACTCCCCTTGCAACAGGCACACTGGCCCATCTGACAGCTCCCCGCCCAGCAGCTAAAATGTTATCCCCAGCCTAGCAGAGGGCCTCCTGATCAGGGCTTAAGCTGGGCCAGTTGTTATATATTCTTATTTCCAACTAGGCTATCTCTCTCCTTCAGGTTTGGGACCTTCAAATCTTGCTTATTTCTACCTCTTAAATATTTCTCCTTTTTTAGATCAATTGATTTGTCCAAGGCCCTTGAACTACCTGGGGTGGTTGATGTGATAACAGCTGAAGACATTCCAGGCACCAATGGTACTGAAGATGAGAAATTGTTGGCTGTCGATGAGGTATAGAATATGCCTTTCCATGTGTTGTGTAGATAATCACCAAGGCACCCCCTCCAGCCAACTTACCATGGCCTCCCAGCCCTCTCAGACAATGGGGGTAGAGGTGTCAGTTCTCCCAGCTTCTTTCTATCCCTAACATTTTTATTCAGGCAAGCCTATACTTCTGGAGTCAGGAAATAACATAATAAAAAGTAAAGTCATTATGGAAAAATAACTCCTAGTTTTCCCTCTGCGGGCTCTTGAGTCAATTTATCCTCGTCTGGAAAATGCAGCAACTGACCTGTGCCTGGATGGAATAGAAAAGTGTAGAGAGGAGAATACAAAAAAACACACCCACTCCCTGTTATTTACATTGAACTCCCTCCTTTCCTGGATCAGCCTCACCCCCTCCACCTTCCACTTACCTCACACACTCCAGTTTTTAAAAAAGTTGTTCTTGCCATCTTTGACCTTTAGCCAATTCAACAATCATTCACTGAGCTCTTGTGTCTGGAGCCAGACCACCTTGGTTCATGTCCCAGCTCTACCACTCACTCACTGCGTGTCCTTGGGTGGCATCAGAAGTAAGATGAGAATAGCCATAGCACCCACCTCATTGTGCTGTTGTGAAATGTAAATGAGTGAATACATGTGAAGTGCTTACAACAGAGCTTGGCGCATGAAGGATCTCAGTGGCAGCTGTTACTGCCACATCTCAATGACTGTTTCTCCTGTAGCCTTGGCATGAATCACTGTCCTTTTGGTTGAACTCCAGATGAAGTTGGCTGTCACTTAGGACCTGTATTATGTATTAGGGCTGACATACAAAGTACCACAGATTGAGTGGCTTCAAAAAAACAGAAAGTCATTTTCTCACAGTTGTGGAGGCTGAAAGTCCATGCTCAGGGTGTTGGCAGGTTTGTTCCCCCTGAGGCCTCTCTTCCTGGCTTGCGATGGTCATCTTCTCCCAGCATCCTCACATGGCCTTTTGTCTGTGTGTGAGCCTCCCTGGCTTCTCCTCCTCTCCTTGTAAAGACATCCGTCCTATTGGTTTAGAGCTCCACCTGATGGCCTCATTTACCTTAATTAAGTCTTTAAAGGCCCAATCTCCCATTCACTCATATTGAGGAGTTAGGGCTTCAACACATGAATGGGGTTGAAGTGCCATGTTCTACAAAAATAAATAAATAAATAAATAAATAAATAAATAAATAAATAAATAAATAAATACTTCCCTTACTTTCCTTATCTTTAAACTCTAAAATGACACCACAAAGGCAATACCTGTGAACCTAACTTGACAGGACGAAGCAGATTCAAAGTCACAGCCAATTTCACATTCACTCTGGAGCTTACATTCATTGAGTAAAATGGCCAATGGAAACATCTGTGTTATTTAAATTATTTTTTCATTCAAAAATATTTTCATGTGTTAACCAAGCACATACAGTTGAATGTGACTTCAAGGTGGTTATCATTTCTCAGTGATGACAACTAAGATGCCACTGGTAAAGTTGAGCTTAAACCTACTCCTATCCAGAATTTTCTGCCTGCTTTCACACATGTGCTTTCCACAGGTACTTTGTGTGGGTCAAATCATCTGTGCTGTGGCTGCAGAGACAGATGTGCAGGCGAAACATGCGATTGAAGAGATAAAGATCACCTATGAAGATCTGGAGCCCGTAATCTTCACCATCGAAGTAAGCTGACTGGTCTCTCCCGAAAGGCTACAAATTAAATTACTTTATCATCTTTAGCGAGAAAGCCGATGGCTTTAAAGCTATTGGAGAGTAAGAATGCAGGAGACAGGTGCCTTCTGAAGTATGGAAAATGACCTTGGATCTGACAGTAAAACTAGGATCAGCTGTCAGTAGGTCAATTCACAGAACCACAGAATGGCTCCCAAGCTTCTTGTGTGAGTTCATTCATGTTATTATCAGAAAGAAAACAAAGAACTAGAGAAGCCCTGTGAAACATGTCAAATCTTAAAGAAATGAACAAACTTCCTACATGTCTATTGGGCTTTTTTGCTCAGAATGCATTAGGACTTGAGTCTTCTCCCTCAACACCGCCTGTTCTTTCAGATCTCTGAGCTAGAGGTTCTTGTACATAAGCTATCTAAGTCTTACACCAGTGTTTTTCTTCAGGGAAAATGTAAAAAGGGAAGGCCCAGAACCTCACTCGAACTGCATTTAGGCCTATTACCTGTTCCCTGGAGATACACGTTGAAAATGAGAAACAAGTACTGATCATCTTGGACCATCAAAATGCCTCCAGCTCTCAATTATTAATGTTTCTTTAACTCTTGCTGATTTCCTCTGTAATCTAGAAGACATTCTCTCCAACATCCCATCTCTGCAGCAAGCCCATTGCTCTAGTGCTTCCCCGCTTGCAGGATTCCTTTGATGTGTCCTAGCAGATGGCAATTTGGGGAGTTTACTGGCTTTTTGTTGAGAAAAACACTGCCAGTGGAAGAAGCATATAAAGAATTGGCTTTGGGTTTTTTTTCCTGTCACTTAGGATGCCATAAAACACAACTCATTCCTATGCCCTGAAAAGAAACTTGAACAAGGAAACATTGAGGAGGCATTTGAAAAAGTTGATCACATTATTGAAGGTAAGAGACTCAGGATATTTGATGGGATCTTCGGGGGATTCTACTCTGAAGCAGACATTGAGGGCCTGTGATTTCCTCTTCGTGCTTTGCCAAATTTCTCTTAGATCTCTTCTTTCCAAAGTGTGTGTGTGTGTGTGTGTGTGTGTGTGTGTGTGTGTGTGTGTTGGTTGGTTGGTTGGTTGGTTGGTTGGTTTTAAAGGTGGGAGAGGTAGGGAGCAACAGAATAATTAGAAGAAAAGTACCCAAGATTTTGAAGTGTCAAGGGCAGAATGAGGAACAGAACCAGACATGTTCAACTTGTTATCCAGGACTGTAATCTCTGAAACAGATTGCTCTCAGTTGACACAGGATAAATGCTTGGCCCATCAGTTCTTCGCTCAGAACAAATCCAGCTTGTCAGACCACCACATCCCACTTGCTTTTGAATTCCCCAACATGACCACTTCCAACCAGTGTGAACCTTCAGGAATTTCCCTGTGTTTGCACCTAACAGGAGAGGTCCATGTTGGAGGACAGGAACACTTTTACATGGAAACACAAAGAGTGCTTGTTATTCCAAAGACAGAGGACAGCGAACTGGACATTTATGTGTCAACACAGGATCCAACCCACGTGCAGGTGAGGTCCAGGGCTGCCCTCACCTCTGCAACTTCCTAAGTCTATCATGGCCTTCAACCCCCACTGCCTCAGAGTTGACAGGCATTTATTCAAAATACAAGCATTTGACATCAGTGAAGAGCTAACATCCCAGGACCCCTTTTTTTTCTGGTCTTGTGAAGTCACTTTAGATTTAGAGAGGACATTCAATGGCAGTGTGCTTAAATGAACTCTGTGCTTGGATGACAACACTAAGTTATATCTGTACTTGATTTTTCTCTAAGATAATTATTACAGTTAACCTGTGGAGTCAACATCTCACTTTATAGCACATTTTCATTTCCCCAGCCATAAAGTACTCAAAGTTTTAGCTGAAAATACTTCTTCTTCAGGAGGTTGCTGGAGTTTGCTGTTTCTCACCTTGTTGGGACATTGTGTTTAGGCATTTGTCTCGGAGTTCAGCTTCTGACAGGAAACCAGGACGGTTTCTTCTGACAGTTTCCCTTCTGGAAAATGCCATTTTTCTGCTGGAAAGGCTGTGTTCTGTGGCAATGACCCATGTTTATTACCTCAATGGGGCTACACAAGACACATTCAGACTGTCAGTCTTTTTTTTTTTTTTTTTTTTTTTCCCCACAGTAGATGTGAATGGATTTTGCAGTGATGTTGTGTTTCAGGAAATCAAAGTCTTCTTTGCCATTTCATTCTTGTAAAACTTTCCCAATATCTAACTTTTACAGAAAACAGTGTCTTCTACTTTAAACATCCCAATCAACAGGATCACCTGTCATGTAAAACGAGTGGGTGGAGGTTTTGGCGGGAAAGTAGGAAAATCAGCTGTGTTCGGAGCTATTGCAGCTGTGGGTGCCATCAAGTAAGTGCACTTGGGGGTACAGAAGGGTGTAAAATGTCACAGCTGAGGGCTAGCCCAAGGCCTAAGAGGCACTTGGGCTGCTGTCATAACCACCTGCCATCCTTGGGCAACTCAGCCTCCTGTCTCTTTTTCTTTTCAATTGTAGATATAATACCTAACCTCCTGGAGTTATTAGCAAAGTCATATGTAGATAGACATATGCTAATTTCCCATGAAAAGGAAAAGTGGTATTACTAGCTGAACACCTCCAGGACCAGAGTTTCAGAAAAGGTGACCCATTTAAGGGTGGGACAAGTAACTGCCCAAGTAGAGTGCCAAGGGGAAGAATGCTCCCTCATTTTTCCTTCCTACTCTCTGTTGCAGACAGGGCGGGGTGAGGGAAGAAAGACCCCCACCCTGCCTCCTCCATGCACCTGGGGAGAGCTGGCTTTTCAATGTGTGCTCAGAGGACAGAGGACAGCCTCAAAGAGAGCTCCCAGGCTCATTTCAATGGAAAGCTCACTGCTTGCATATTGTTGGCTTTTCTAGTCTTTGGTTTTGTTTGTTTTTTGGGTTTTAGTTTTGGTTTTGGGGTTTTTTATACTTTGTCAGAGCTCCAAAGAGCCAGTAAATGTCCTTTAGCAGCTTCTGTACAGAGCTAGGAACCAAGACACTCACTCAGTAAGTGTCTCCTTTCATGATGAGAGGTAGGAAAAAGCAGGATCTGAATCTCATCTCCAATTCTTTTCATAATGAGCCTCTCTCTATTCACCTCCACCAGGGACCCAGCAGGGAGAATCAATTTGCTGTATTTCTACCAGACTTTGTGCTGTTAAGACTTTCCAAACATAATTGCACATCTAAATGTTCATGGGAACATTTAAATCCTAGGATGCCCCATACTGACCCAACCACTATTATATATTATTTTAAACTTTCCTCCCTGGCCGGGTGGTTCAGTTGGTTGGAGCATTGTCCTCTACACAAAAAAGTTGTGGGTTTAATTCTTGGTCATGGCACATACTCAGGTTGGAGGTTTAATCCCCTAGGTCAGGGTGCATATGAGAGGCAAGCCATTGATGTTTCTCTCTGTCTCTCTCTCTCTCTCTCACCAATAAAAACATTTTTAAAGCCTTCCCAGTGGTTCTACTGCACAGCCAAGTGTGGGAAACACCATCTTAAACAACCCTGTCTTAGCACACTCCTGCCTTGTGTTAAGTGGTCCCCAGAGGAATGCTCTCAAGTTGCTGGCAATTAGAATCTCCTCAGGTCATAGAAACTTCTGCCTCCCTATCCCAGACCCACAGAATCAAAGTCACCAGGAAACGAACCCAGACACTGAACATTTAACTGATGCTCCAGGTGGTCCTCACCATCAAAAAAGACCAGGAAACCCTACACTAGAATTAATGACTTTCAACATGTACCTAAAGACACCTGCATTAAATTGCTGAGGGAAATGCAGATTCTAGGGCCCCTCCCCAACCTATTGCTAAAGTGCTAAGGCTCAGGAATCTGCATTTCACCAGCGCTCCAGAGGACTCTTCTGCACTCCAAAGTCCGGGAGCCTCTGCCCCTGAGACCCAGAAAGGCTGAAGCTCCTAGCTCCCCAGGGGCCCAGCTTGGCCAACATCATTGCAGTCCTGGTGAAAATGAAGATCCAAATCCTGACACATCCTAAGACAAGTGTTGGCCTTTGCTTGAAGTTGTGTTGTTATGTTTGCATTTATCCGTTCACACTCTCTTTTGTTACTAGTGGTGGGGATATGCAAAAGTGACTAGATGTGAATGATTGTCAAATTTAAAGCCATAACAACACAAGAGAACTGCCATGTGACATTAATCACTTTAGCTAGATCTAAAGACCATGGAGACAATAGTAATTTAGTTGTGCATTAGTCAATGCTTCACACAGTGTATGCACTCAATGAATATATATGGAAAGGATGGATGATTAAATGAATAATTGGATAAAATGGATTGGAGGGCAGGTAGAGGATGGGTGGGTAGAAAGGTAGATAGATGGATGGGTGGGTAGGTAGTTTAACGAGGGGATGGATAAATAGGTGGATGGATACTAGGTGAGTAGATGGTAGATGGATGGGTGGGATGCAGAATCTGACTAAGACTTGTTGTCCTTAGAACTGGTCACCCTGTCCGTCTTGTTCTTGATCGTGAAGATGATATGTTAATAACTGGGGGAAGACACCCATTATTTGGAAAATATAAAGTGAGTATTAAAGATGAAATTATTGAAATACTTCATTCTCTTCTATTGTTTTGATTTTGTTGAATTCTAAAAACAATAATCTTAGCATCTAAAATATTCAATGAGGATGCTGTGTATCTGAATACTCACAACATTTTTGTGAGGAACTTTTAATAAATCGAGTGTAGAATTGTGAAATTGAATAATAAAAATACATGATTAAAAATGCTAATGTTTCCTCAGTGACAAAAACCTGGAAGAAGCTATAAACATTGTTATGCTAAACTTCACTTTACAAATGTTTCCACTAAGTGGTTATGAAAATGTCATAAATATTATTTGCAAATAGGAAAAAATAATCTACTAACAAGGGAAATAATTTTAATTGTTTCAAACCACATTCACTGCATTTTTATGCAACTGTAGCATAAACACTATTAAAAATATTTGTTGACATCAATACTACTTTTCAAATTTGTGCCTGAGTTCTTTGTAATATTTCCCTATCAAATATGCTTTATTTGGCAATTACTCGTAACATGCATATAGTTAAATTTCATATCTAATTTTGTCATTGCCTGAGATTACTAAATTGTTATATTTTTTGGCATTACTAAAACCATGGCTTTTCACAATTTTATCTCTTTCATTGGCATTAGTAATTTATATAATTAGAGAGAAATAAACCATAGTTGGCAATAATTTTTGTATTGGCCTTCAAATGCACAGAAATTTGTACAGATATGTATTATCTTCTAATATCAAGAGCAATGTAGAGACACATTCTGGGATTGTGGCAATTAGTATTATGGTAGTTGCTGAGTTCTTTGGTTTTGGCCTAGATTATAAATCAGGGTTTATTTATATTAGTTGTGAGACTATTTTAATACTAGTACCTATTTAAGAGGATTCTAGACAGCGAATGTTTTGGTATTTATAATAATATAAAAGAGGGAAATCATTAGACTATTTTAAAGATCCAAATTTTATTCTATTTGGATCTTTATGTACTTCCAACATAATAATATGTGTGTATATGTATATATGTATGTATATATCCTCATTAAACTTTGCTAACAAAGGTTTGCTTGTTTACTTGGAACTACTTGTAAATCACTAGAGCAGATTCTTATGTGTGATAGAATAATAAATTTGAATAATAAAAAATTGAATAATAAAAATACATGATTAAAAATGCTAATGTTTATATTTAAAGTTTAAAATTTTTTAAAGTTTATATTAAACAGCTAAAGAATTCTCTCTGCTACATTTGCTTGGCAATGCTTTCTTCAGGAAAAGTTGAAGGTACCCTGCTGCGTAGCCTTGGTCAAAATTGCCACAAATTCTGAATTGGTGGATTTTCCCACAGGTCCTACCTGCTCTGGTTTATTATCCAACACTTCTCCTCGAGTAGATGATAATAACCACATAGCTGTATGGTCCCATCAGTTGTATTTGTCCACGTCTTCAGAAGACAGAGACCAGAGCCATTCTTTTTGCTAGAACTACAGCAGGGAGTGGGAATTTTTCTTTTCAATCTGGGCTCTACAGACAGACTGGTCCCGTGGTAGGAGGGGCAACTTCAGAGGAACTCCAGGTGCCTCTGAGTCCCAGGAAGCATAGCAGCACAAGCTCGCATTTGTTGAGACCGTAGCAGTTGCAAAGCACTCCACAGCTCAGCACAACAAGAGCCGAGAGCCATCATGCCAGGGATCATTCCCAGCCCTGGCTTCTGACGCTTTCCTGCAACGAGATGCACTGCCATTCATTCCACCACACTCTGAAATCCCAGAGACTTGTCCACGGGGTGGAAACCCAGTCTAAATCAGAAGGAATGCCAGTAAAAAGTGAAGGAGAATCTTCCAAGAATAAGGAAGAAGGTAGCAATTACATGTCTGGAGATTGGCAAGAACTTTAGAATTTCATAATGACTAGTGAAGCCAGAAAATTGTGGGTTGGGTAGAAAGGGCTCAGCAAAATTCAGGTCAGAGGAGGCCTTTGTCAGCCAAGTGCTGAAAGCTAAGAGACTAGCCAGGAGGGGGACACCCAGAGCCAACGGGAGCAGCGTCCGTCTTCAGGCCTGCCTAATGGTGGAGCTGGGCTGTGGCTCCAGGTTGGCATGTACGTTAACCATGTAAACTGTCTATCATTTGCTGACAGGTGGGATTCATGAACAACGGGCGGATCAAAGCTCTGGACATTGAGTGCTTCATTAACGGAGGCTGCACACTGGACGATTCGGAGCAGGTGCGTGCATAGACACCAGTGACCTTGGTCGTAAACAGAACATAGAACTTCTAGATGAGTCTTTACTGAACACACTTCCTCAAGTACTTACCAGGTTTCACAGCAGCTCAACTTTCAGAAAAAAAAGAAGAAAATATTTATCCAATATATGTGATTATCTTCCATCACTTTAGGTAACAGAATTCCTCGTACTGAAGCTGGAAAATGCGTATAAAATCCGCAACCTCAGGTTCCGGGGCCGTGCCTGTATGACCAACTTACCATCCAACACGGCCTTTCGCGGGTATGGCTTCCCACAAGGAACCCTGGTGACAGAATCTTGTATCACAGCTGTGGCAGCCAAATGTGGCCTTCTGCCAGAAAAGGTAAGGTTGCAATCAAGGTCATAGCCAAGATTGCTGAAGAATCAGATGAGAAGGAAACCAGCTTCCTAGGGAAATACCCTAGAGCACACATGTCAAACACAAGGCCCGCGGGCCAAATCCGGCCTGCCAGGCCTTGCAATGTGGCCCGCACCGCGCTGTCATCACTGCACTCCGCTGCGTTCCATCACAATGACGCGTGGTGACATAGGAGGCTTATGATCTTGCCGGCCGCCTCGCCGGCCGCCGTTACTTGCTATCTATTACGCATGCGCATAGATAACAAGTCACGCGAGATTCAGGAGGCGTGACCTATAGTCCGGCATCCGATGTGGTTGTGCGGGTGGCAGAGCAGAGGAGAGAGTGAGTGTGCGGGCATAAAAAATACACAGCAGAAGCTGCCAGTTCCTGGCATAAAGTGCAGGCATAAAAATCGCAACAGAATCTGCTATCTGTACCCAGCCAGGCATTTATTGACTGACTTTTTTTTTCTCCACTCCATCTGCCAAATCAAGCTATCCCTGTGCAGTTTTCAACTTTTTCCTTCTAACGCAGATTTCCAATAAACTACATCTTTTACTGCCAATATTGATCCCAAAATGTCCAGGAAAAGAAAAGTTGATGGTGAAGGCAGACAATTTAATGACAAATGGGAAAATGAATACATGTTTGTGCTTAGAGAGGGCAAACCAGTGTGTATATTGTGTTATGAGACAGTGTCGGTGATGAAAGAGTACAATATACGTCGTCATTTTGACACCAAACATAATGTTAAGTATGGCAAATATACTTTGGAAGAAAAGCATAAAATTGTTAAAGAACTAAAAGGCAAACTACAATCACAGCAGCAAATGTTTACAAAGGCTACAGCGAAAAATGATGCTGCAGTGAAAGCAAGTTTTATAGTGGCTGAAGAAATTGCCCGTACTTCAAGGTGTTTTTCAGAGGGTGCCTTTTTGAAGCAATGCATGCTAAAAGTGTGTGAGCAAGTATGCCCAGACCAGATACAGAGTTTTCAAAATGTCAGTTTGTCAAGAAACACCATTGCAGATAGAGTTCAAGAACTCTCAGGAAATCTATCATCACAGCTGGAGGAACAGGCATGCAGTTATCTCGCTTTTTCACTTGCTATCGATGAAAGCACAGACAACACTGATACAGCACAGCTGTCCATCTTTATATGTGCTACGAAGACCGACCTCTCTGTCACTGAGGAACTTTTGGATGTAGCTGTCATGCATGGGACGACGACTGGTAGAGATATATTTGAGGCTGTGGAGAAATCTATAAATAATTTTAAATTACCCTGGGAAAAGTTGGTGGGGCTAACTACCGATGGCGCACCTTCAATGTGCGGAGAAAAGAAAGGCTTGGTTGGACTAATGAAGGAAAGAATGCAAAAAAGTCACTGCCACACACCCTTGATTACTTATCATTGCATTATCCACCAAGAGGCTATGTGTGGAAAAGTTCTGGACATGAATGACATAATGACCACAGTCATTAAAACTATTAACTTTATACGGGCACGTGGCCTGAATCATCGCCAGTTCCAGCAGTTTTTACAGGAGGTGGGTGCAGAGCATGGAGACGTGCCATACCACACAGAAGTAAGATGGCTGAGCAAGAGCGCAGTCCTCAAAAGATTTTTTGAGCTCAGAGAAAAAATTGCTCTTTTCATGGAAAGTAAAGGAAAGCCCTTGCCTGAACTGTTGGATCCCGCCTGGCTATGTGATTTTGCTATGATGTGTGACATATGCGAGCATCTCGCCCAACTGAATCTGAAGCTGCAGGGACGCAAACAAGTCATCACGAAGATGTCTGACATGATCACAGCATTCCAGCGTAAACTTCAACTATGGAAGTCCCAACTGGAACAGGACAATCTTGCCCACTTTCCCGTTTGTTTGAGTATCTCAACCACTATTTCTGGTACTTTTCCTTGCAGTCGGCTGGCTACCAAAGTTAGCCGTTTACTAAGTGAATTTGAGCGGCGCTTCTCTGACTTTAGAACACAGCACTCAGGCTTTGACATCTTTGCCAATCCTTTTACAGTTGATGTCAACAATGTGCCCCAACACCTTCAGATGGAGATAATCGAGCTTCAGTCTGACAGTGGCCTGAAATCAAGGTTTCAGGATGTTGAAATTGAAGACTTCTACCCTCTACTGCCCCCTGACTCAATGCCAGAGCTCCGACTTCATGCTGCCCGTATTCTATCCATGTTCGGGAGCACCTATCTTTGTGAACAGATGTTTTCAATAATGAATCTAAACAAAAACAAGCACAGATCACGCATTACCGATGACAACCTCCATGCTGTTTTGCGGGTTGCTACAGCCCAAGAAATAAAACCGAACATTGACTCATTGATCCAGGGAAAACGGTGTCAGACATCTAGCCAGAAAACAAAACAATGAGCATTTTAGGTACATTCCAATATTACTGTTTTGCTTGATACCAATATTACTGTTTTGCTTGATAGCATGTGAGTTGGTTAACAGCACTGTTAAGGAAAAGATTGTTCCACTCATTTTAAATTCACATTTCTGGTTAACATTGTCAGTTTATGACTGTTCAGTAAACCATTCGGCCCGCGATTTAGGCTGGATTTTAGATTTTGGCCCCTTCTCTGATTGAGTTCGACACCCCTGCCCTAGAGCCATTCAAATGAGCTCTGGCTCAAAATTCGAAAAATGTTCAGTGCTACCTAAAAGAATTCACCTCCCTCCTCTGATTTTCCACCCTTCTTGTACAAAAATTTCTCTTTTTCCTTCTTTTTAAAACCTGTGCAAAGATAATTACTCTTTTTAACTTTTATACCCCACTGAAATCATTAGAGTAAAAAGTGAACGTACACTTTTTTTAATCCCTCCATCCCTATTGGTTAAGGGTAACCATGGTCAGCATTTCCATATTTATTGTTCTAGCTCTTTCTCTATGGGTATCTACCCATCTGTATTCATACATAGATACATCATCATTGCCATGTGTTTATACATGCACATATACAGTTACTTACCAAAATGGGGCCCTAATCAACACATTATTCTGCACTCTGCTTTTTTCTACTTGGCAATAGGCCATGGCCATCTTCCTGTGGCAATAGAATGACCTACTTCCTAATTTTTCAAGACTGAATAGTGCTGTGTAATGTACCATCATTTGCTTAGCCATTCCACTGTTGGTGCACGTTCAGCTTGTTACCCATCTTTGGCTATTAAAATGCTGTTGCAGCCCTAACTGGTTTGGCTCAGTGATAGAGCATTGGCCTGTGGACTGAAGGGTCCCGGGTTCTATTCCGGTCAAGGGTATGTACCTTGACTACAAGCACATTCCCCCATAGGGGGTGTGCAGGAGGCAGCTGATCAATGTTTCTCTCTCATTGATGTTTCTAACTCTCTCTCTCCCTTCCTCTCTGTAAAAAATCAATAAAATATCTATATTTTTTAAAATAAAATAAAATGCTGTTGTAATACACGTCTTGGTACGATGTCTCAGAGATATCCAATATATCTTTGTCCTTCTAGGTAGAGGGTAAATTTACAGAAGTGAAATTGCCAGTGCACTTGAAAACTCTTGAGAGAGACCGCCAAAAGAATGTTCTCCAAAAACATCATTTTGAGCAATACCCTAGAAAGTGCACAGTATATACAGCATGCTAGTCAGACAGGGGCAGCTCCTGGCAGCTGAGGTCAGTGTTGATAACACTTTCTGCTCTTCATACACTCCATCAGCCCCCAGCCTACTTTTTACATTTCAATCCCATTTCCTCGATAAATTTGTAGTCTGTTTCTGACTTACCATAACTACCAATTCCATTTTCCACCCACTTCAGGTTAGGAAGAAAAACATGTACAAGACTGTGGATAAAACCATCTACAAACAAGCCTTCAGCCCCGAGAGCCTGATACGATGTTGGAACGAATGTCTGGACAAGTCTTCCTTTGGCAGCAGAAGAGAGCAAGTGGAAGTGTTTAATAAGAAGAATTACTGGAAGAAGAAAGGACTTGCCATTGTCCCCATGAAGTTCTCAGTCGGCTTTGGTGACACTAGCTACCACCAGGTGAGGTCCTCACTGTGTACATCAGCCTCGTGGCAGACACACTCCTGGCCAGATCAGCTCGTGCTGACTAGGCCTGAGTGTCACAGTTCCCAGGGCTCGGAGCCGCTCTCCTGGGCAGTACCCCTCGGCAAGCACTTGCTCCACAGTGCCATAGAGAAGTGCCTCCATGGCAGACAGTGGCATCAGCAAGCATGAGACCTGCAGCGGGGAGCGGGGTGGTGGGTGGTATGCCAAGATGGAGTCCTGACTGCCCCATGGAACCCCTATTCCAAAAGGGAGCAGGAGTCCACAGGACTGCCATGCTGTGCTTTCTAAGCTCAAGGGTCACAAACCTGGGCAGGAAGGGGGCTGCTCCTGGCCTGCGCCCCAGTCCCCATAGCATTGCTTGGTGCATCCTAAGTCATAGGCAGGGAAGTCATTCTACGTTGCCCTGACCAGCCATTTGTTTCAAGCCACCTCTCCCAGGAACCTGTCAATTCTGATAGGGAAATGAGGGTGGGGCTCCAAATCCTCCCAGGTAAATTTGCAAAAAGAAGAGGAGAGTCATTCAGAGGCCCTCTCCAGAAGGGCGGAGGAGGGGTGGTGTGTAAGTGAGTCCATTACATAGCACGAGGCCTGGTGCTGAGTCTTCCTATACAGGAAAGCTGTTGAGAAAACTGGGAAAGACTGTTGCCTCCCAGGATTGTCGATCAAAAGCAGAAAGGTCTTACACCCATTATGTCTCAATAGAAGTCTAAAAATGCAGTAGATCCCCCCTGTGTGTATGCCATTGAAAACATTCTTCCACTTATACCCAGCTATTGGCAGCCAACACACACACACACACACACACACACACACACACACACACAAATATGTGGTCTTTGCCCCTGGTTTTTGACAAAGTTCCTAAAACCCATGGAATTTACTGTGCTTTGTATGCTAATGAGATGACTCTTGGGGGCAGCCCATCTAGCTGTGGCTGGGGAGGCAGGATAGTTGCCAGAAAAACCAACCACTGGGGTTGTATCTGTTTTTGATACAACCTCAAAATGGGCGAATGGGAGAGGAGGCGTGAGGTTGTCCAGTGCTCTCCCTCCTGTTCATGGATGTGTTCTCCGACCTGGAAGCTCCCAGAAATGTCATTACCTGGATACACTTGATTAAATCATCAGCCATCGGGATTGAAATCAATCTCTAGCCTCACACCTTCCTGGAGGTCAGGGAGCGGGGCTGAAAGATGTGACTCTCCCAGTGGTTAGTTTTTCTGGCAACCATCCTGCCTCCCCTGCCCCACATGTCCTAGAGCAGTGGTCCGCAAACTGGGCAGCTAGATAGGCTGCCCCAAGAGTCATCTCATTAGCATACAAAGCACAGTAAATTCCATGGGTTTTAGGAACTGTGTCAAAAACCAGGGGCAAAGACCACATATTTGTTTGTATTATATCACATCTCCCCCACCTTTATGGCTGTCCCTCACCTAAACCACGGCCTAATTTCTGCCGTGGTCTCATCACACACACACACACACACACACACACACACACACACACACACTGCTTTAAATCAAGCTAAGTGTTCATTTGCAAGACCTCCAGCTTCCCCACAGAGTTCCAAATTGATGTGCTCCAGGCACACCAGGCTAGGAGCTGAGATGTATTATTCTAGGTCAGCTGATGACTCATAAAGCTGGACACCTACTCCCCAAACCAGGCAGAGTAGCATGTCCTTGCAAGGGGTCAGGAGGCCATGCTGAAGAAATACTATTATTAGAACCTGCGAGCCTTGATGCCTGGAATCCCTCCAAGATGCCCAGGGCTCAGACATCTCCAGACAGAATAGACAGAAGTCCCACTTCCTCCTCCTCTTCCTTCTCCTTCCCCTCCCCTCCCTCTTCTCCTCAGAGGAAAAATACCACATTGCCATTCATCCAGTTTAACAAACATATTTTTAGTGTCTCTGATTTAGACCTACTCAGAGTTCCCTTCAGGACACAAGAATGAAAAAGACTAGGTGCCCCTCCTCGCTGAGACTCCCTGTCACCCCCTGTATTCATTTCCTGTGGTTTTAATAACAAAATACCGCAAACTGAGTGGCTTCAAACAACACTTGTATTTTCTCAAGATTCCGGAGGCTAGACATTCAAAATCCAGGTGTTGGCAGTGCTGTGCTCCTGCAGGAGGCCCCCAGGAAGAAGCCTGCTGTGCCTCATCTCATCTAATTACATCTGGAAAGACTACTTACAAATAAGGCTGCTTTCTGATGCCCTAGAGCAGTGTTTCCCAAACTTTTGACATATGTGTACCCCTTCTATAATTTTCGTAACGCTGAGTACCCCTCATACTCATGAGAACGTAGAATTAGGCGCAGCTAAGCACGGTGCAGTGCATATCCCCACCAAACTCCGGTGCAAAGCATACCCCCACCAAACTCTTCCCGTACTCCTGGGGGTACACGTACCACACTTTGGGAAACACTGCCCTAGAGCAGTGGTTCTCAACCTTCCTAATGCCGCCACCCTTTAGTACAGTTCCTCATGTTGTGTTGACCCCCAACCATAAAATTATTTTTATTGCTACTTCACAACTGTAATTTGGCTACGGTTATGAATCGTAATGTAAATATCTGTGTTTTCCAATGGTCTTAGGAGACCCTGCTAGCGGTTCTCAACCTGTTTTTTGTCACAACCCACAGGTTGAGAACCGCTGTTGTAGAGCTTAAGACAATTGGAAAACACAGATATTTATATTACGATTCATAACAGTAGTAAAACTACAGTTATGAAGTAGCAACGAAAATAATTTTATGGCTGGGGGTCACCACAACATGAGGAACTGTATTAAAGGGTCGTGGCATTAGGAAGGTTGAGATCCACTGTTCTAGAGGGACAGGGATTTAAAGGGGATGCTACTCAACTCAGTTCACCCCTGTAAGACGAGGTGCAGAGAAGGGGGTAACGGATCCTTCCAAGAAAGGAATGAGGAGTGTTCGCAGAAGTTCTAACAGAATAGAGACCACAAGGGTGGGGGTATCGAAGGCTGCGGAGCAAGCCAGGGAGAGAACATCGTATGCAAAAGCACAGGTCAGGGAGGAACAGGGGCAATGCCAGGCTTAGAGGCAAGGTAGGAAAAAACTGGAATGAAGTGGGAAAGCACCAGAGACCGAATCCCAAAGGGCCTCACCTAATGACAAGGAGCAGGTGCAGGGCTCTCCCTTGCAGACAATGGGGAGTTTTTGCCCACCTTGCCCAAGGGGCAAACTGTTCTCCCTTTCAGGATTCCATTCAGTGCCACTTTGGGGAACCCTTCCCTGGCTCTGCAGAGGCAGCTGGGTCCGTCCTCCCAGGCCTCCAGGGCCCCCATGGCACATCGTTTCATCTCACACCTCATTCTGCATTCTCATGACCTGCTTTCCAGCCTGGCCCCCCACAGCACTGAGAGCTACCTGAGGAAGAAGCTCATCTTATTCATCCTTGTCTATCTAAACTAGAGCAAGCACATACCACGTGCATGTACTTGACAAATGTTTAATTCGCCGGTTGAGTGATTTGCCAGAGATTTTAATCGGGGGAGTGACTTTCAAACAGTAGCAACCCCAAGGGGCTCCTACTAAAACCAGGTTCCTCACTAAGACTGTCTTTCCAGGTGACTTTGGCACAAAACAGAGCTAGGCCTCACAACCCTACCAGGAGAGCTTGCCTCTGACCCTCCCCACTCCGCAGACGGGTGTTTCACTACCCCGTGTCTTCCATTGACCTCACTGAACTGACCCTGAGCTGGGTCTTCGGGTTGGTTGTTTTTCTAGGCAGCAGCACTGGTTCACATCTACACAGACGGGTCTGTGTTGGTCACACACGGAGGCAACGAGCTGGGACAAGGTATTCACACCAAAATGCTACAGGTAAGATCAATAAAATGAAGTCACTAATCTCATTCATTGTTGATATGACTGGCATTTGGCACTAGTTTTAGGGTAAGGGACAACTCCCTGAGCTCAAACCCTAAGATCTTGACTATGTAGTTGAAAAACCTCTTACATATCCAATAAAATGGCTGTGGTGGTGGAAATCACACACACACAAACACACACACACATACACACACACACACACACACACACACAAACACCTGTTCTGCCTCTCGCAATACTGGCTGCCTCTCGAGACAGTGGCTGGCCTGGTGGCTACCTGTCAGGATATAGTCCAGCCCAGCAGTTACCTGTCCTGTTGTTGTCCTGCCCTATACCCGATGTCACAAGATTTAGGCTTTAAAGGATATCACGAACATACTAAAAACAGTCATTTTTACTAAGAAAAATGGTGACTCAAATCTTCACAGAACTCCTTGCTAACTTGAAAATATGTCTTTTTCTCATAGGTGGCCAGCCGTGAATTAAAAATACCCATGTCCTATCTGCACATCTGTGAGACAAGTACAGCCACGGTGCCTAACACAATTGCCACAGCTGCCTCCATCGGCTCCGATGTCAATGGCAGAGCCGTGCAGGTGCTTCCCTTTGTCTTTTTGTCTGTCTTCCCTCGGGTACTTTTACCACATCTCCAGTTTTCTTAGCTGGATACAGGCACATGTGACTGGCCTTGGAGAAGCCATCCGTGTCACTAAACTCAGGCTCAGGATAACCAAAGTGTCAGAGAGTGTGTTAGTTGGAGTAGGCTAAATGGAGTTGACAGATAGACCCAGAGCATAAAGGCTGAAACATAACTAAGTCCCTTTCTTATACAGTGAAGAGTCATGGGGAGTGTTTGCTCATGCAAGCACTCAGGTTGATGGCAGTTCCTCCATCCCCAACATGTGACTTTCCAGGCTGCCCTGGGCATCATCATCCAATGAGCCAGGGAGGGAGAGCATAGAGGTCAGACTTGGCAGCCATGCAAGTCATTTCCACTCGACACCCATTCGCAGAAGCGATCTCAGGCCACAGCTCGCTGAAGGGGAGGGGGGAGAAGGTGGAGCATGGGAAACCACATGCCCAGCAACCATGGAAGAAGGGGAGCCTGGGTTCTGGTGCAGACACAGTCTCTGTCCATCGGAGACACAAAAAGGAGAAATCTGGGAACCAAGTAGTGCAGAGCTGGGCACGTTTCCCCTGGTACCAACAAGGCCTTGTAGGCAGGGAGGCAGACGGAATGCCAGCCAGGAAGACAGGGTGCAATTAAAGTGTCTACATCAGTGGAGCCCCACCAGAGTAGTCATCCTTTTTGTTGGTACTTGTTTTCTAATGGGTGTTTCATTTTTTCTTTTTCCAAGTAGAACCATGACGTCACATTCCTTCATTCAAATATCTGGCTGCCTGTCCTTTTGCCATGTTTCCGTTATGCACTGTCCACTTTTTCCATTGGAATGTTGTGGGAAGGCATGTCCCCTCTCTCCCAGGACACTGCACTTAAGCGACCAAGATGAACCACTTTTAAATCCATTTTATCTTTGTGAGGATACCCTTAGGGGCTCAAAAACCTGAGATTTTTACTCAGAACAAATGTGTGGGAAACCTCAAACCCATGAGACCCAATTTGGGGTAAAATCAAACACAAGCTGGGAATAGCTCAGTGTGTATGGGAGTTGTCAGCCTAAACTAAGTGTTAATTCATCTAGGACGACGATTTTCATCCACTGGGCCACAAGTTTTCTAAAACCATGAAATACCTGACATCTTTTCCCTTAGCTTGGCAAATTAAAAAAAATGACACCACAACAATAGCCATCCAGTGTGAATGAATCAAAATTATATCTTTTATTTTTGTCATTTTAGGGGGAAAAAATGGAGATGTACTGCAGAATTTTAGTAATTAGTGAATGTGTGCCATGAGATAAAATAGGTTGAAAATCACTGCTCTAGGGCATTGAGTTTTAGGTTTCAGTTTGGAGTATCAGAAACTTTGTAGATCAGGTTATTATAAAAAACAAACGGAATTATTTTTTTCACTTCACATCCAAAGCAAAGGCTGCCATTACAGTATTTTGATGTGGATAGGTGATTAGGCAGAGGAATGAACAGAGTTGAATAATGTTTCAGACCCAGGCAGATATTAGCCTGTCATTGTTAGAGATTGGAAAGGACAAATTTGAATGGAAATAAGATGTTTTGTTTCATTTGTCTTAATGGCTAGAAGATACAAAAGAAGGTACAAGTCAAAAGTGTAGAAAAAGAGAAGAAGGCATTAAGCACGTGAATATATTTAGAAAGGGGACCTGAGAGGAGAAGTTCAGCGGAGCCTCTATTCTCACAGGAAGTGAAGCAGGAAGGGAAAGGCCCTCCAGTAACCAATGCTCTCTCAAGGTCAGGGCTGTGTTGTTATCGTCTCTGTGTCCCCAATATGCTGTATCAGGCGCTCCTTAAGTACTCACTGACCTAGTTAATTATCCACTCATATTCTTCCACGCAAGTCCTAACCACTGGGCTCTTCTCTAATGGGAATGCCCTTCTTTACTCCTCCAAGAATGCTTGTCAGATCCTTCTGAAACGCCTTGAGCCCGTCATTCAGAAAAATCCAGAAGGTTCCTGGGAAGACTGGGTAAGTGTTCCATTCCATTACCACAAATGAGGAAACCCACACCAGTGCCCAGAGCACCAGGGCAGCACACAGCTGAAGCTTGAAGACACAATTCTTCTAAGAGTGGCTTTATAACCAAGGGCAAAAGCCCCAAAAGCTGAGACGGCTGTCCTATGAGGTTTACCAGGTATGTATGGAAAGAGAACAGGGGGAACAGCATCCCTGAGAAGAGGAATGGAAGTGTATGAATCATACCCAGAAGACCTGACCCAGACTGAGCCTTCCTCAGTCTCAAGGGAAATGTTTTTTTTCATCCAACTTTACAATACCCTATGTACCATTTCTTTCGCACATTTATCTCACATTTGCACATATACTACTAGAGTGCTGACATTTAGATATGAAGCACTATTACCTTGTGAACTAAGCCTGTATGTCATAGATGGGCAGCAGGATTCCATTTTATTTCTTTAACTCAGACTTCTGAACTCAAATCAGAAGGAAATTGTTAGTGTACCAGTTGAGAGGGAAAAAATATATATATTATGATGAGTTAATCCTTTTTTTGGGGGGGGGGGGGGTAACAAAGCACCAACAATGACCGTATGTCAATTTTGACACATATTTTTATTTTGAATATTTTTATTTTCACCTATTAGATGGTGTATTTATTTTATTTTAACTAATTATGCTCCTCCTGCAGATAGAAACTGCTTTTGAACAAAGAATCAGTCTTTCAGCCACGGGATACTACAGGTAAAGATTACAATAGTAACATCTTGACTTAGCCAAGAAAATGGGAGGCAACCACACACTCAGGGCCTCCATCTCTCTTTTGTAAAACAAGTTTTCATCATGTGATCTCTGAGATCCTTTCTGGGCCCCAAATTCTACGACTTCACATCGGCCTTTGAGCTATGTCCAAAGCAATATTAAGTAACAAAAATGCCCCTATTGGGTACAAAAAAAAAGTTAAACATAACTGACAACATTTAATCATTATTTACTTTTCTTTACTGTGAAAAAAATCAGAATAATAATATTCTTTAGTGTGAATACTAAAAGAAGTAACTTGCACATCAAGTTTACAAATCTTCCTCCCAATACCATAAAAATCTTCCTGTGCAGAAGCCCCTTGGTAGACGGGGGAGATGGATGGGAGGTCACCAGTCATCACTTGTGCAGGACCCCTCAGAGGAGGCCCTCAGAGAGGAGAGCTGATTGTCAAATTCCGGAAGTGTATGACTTTAGTGTAACAATCTAATGAAGCAAACCATCAAATGAAAAAGAGAGAGATCTTTTTAAGAAAGAAAAAAAGGAAGGAATAGCCATGCCCAATGCCCTGTACACTGTGAGTTCTAAATTTCTGAGTTCAGTTACCAAGAAGAGAATGAATCAGCCTCCAACTGGGTACTTTTCCATTATAAATTGACTAGAGGCCTGGTGCATGGATTCATGCATTGGTTGGGGGCGGGGCCTGGGGGGATAGGCTCACTATGGGAGCAGCTGCTGACCACCATCTCTGTCAGCTGACCACCAGGAGGCAGCTCCAGTGTTGGCTGTCTGCCCCCTCGTGGTCAGTGCACATCATAGCAACTGGTTGACCAGTCATTCTGGTCATTCCTCCTTTTGGTTGCTGGGCTTTTATATACATAGATGCATTGAATTGCTGGCCCTCTTTTTACCAGCGAGGGGGACCCTCTGGGAATGCCAATAAAAGCAGCTGAGGTTCTCAACATGCAGAGCTAAAGCACAAGCCTAACCCATCAAAATACAGACCTGGGAAAGCTAAGCTGTTGGCATCTCTCCGTTTCTGACCTCCTAACTGCAGCCCTGAGAATCCTCTTTAAAGTGGAGGCGATGGTTCCTATTGCCACAACCAGCGAGGTTGTAAACACACGCTGCAGCTTAAATGAGTTGAAAAGAGCAGTTGAAATAAACAGCAGTCAAATTAAATGTTATCATAACTGGTAACTTCTTAAATGAATCAACATTGTGTGTGTGTGCCCGTGCACGCACACACACACATACACAACACACAGGCACAAAGGCACACACATGCACACCCCAAGCTACAGGGCTTTATTTCTTCCATCAGGGGCTACAAAGCCTTCATGGACTGGGAGAAGGGGGAGGGAGACCCGTTTCCTTACTATGTCTTTGGAGCAGCCTGCTCGGAGGTGGAAATCGACTGTCTGACAGGAGCTCACAAGGTAATATAACTTCCTCTGTGGTGAGTTAACACAAGGACAACATTGTGTTGCCATTAACAGCCCTGAGTTCTCTGGGTAATACTTGTATACAGTAGGAGCAAGATTCTTTCAATCCCATGGGAACACCTAGAGACCCCACTTTATCCAGAATTTGCACTTAAAAAGAAGTAGTCAAGAGGCATTGCTCATGACAGCCTAAAATGCAGTTTCTTATTCTAATTCAGATATCAAAATCACTTTCCAAAGTCTTTTTTTTTTTTTTTTTGGGGGGGGGGGGGATGTTCTGTTTCTAAAGGAAGATTGAGTTATCTAATCTGAAGGCATAGGTAATTTAGCAAATTGTCCTGAGTAAGCATTTTGAAAGCACACAGCAATGTGATACTATTTCTTCAGGGTGGGTTACCCCAAGATGCTACGACCTCTAAGAAATAGAATGAGGATGGGAGAGAAGGGGCAGGGGGGAGGGGGCCTGAGAAAATAACTTTGTGTTTGCCTTTTCATTGAGTCAAAGCCATGAATGCCAGAGACCTCTTCGGCCATTGACAGTCTCCCCCCCCCCCCCCCCCAATTTAAAAAGTTAGCAGATGTCTTACCACCTCTACTGTTGATGGAGGTCAATGCGGGATTAATTAACTAGCAGGAGTTTGGGAATCATTTGGGACCATTTGAATAAAACTTTAAATAGTATTTTTAATTCAAGTATTCACACTGAGGTCATTTACTGTCTGTTGGCAGAAAATCAGAACAGACATCGTCATGGATACGTCTTGTAGCCTAAACCCAGCCATTGATATCGGGCAGGTAGGTCCTGGCCCGCTGAGCTGGGTGCTGCTTCCTGGGAGCAGTGTGGGGGGGAGGTAAAGGCCCTCTGAAGAGCACACAGTACCACAGAGCTCCGCATCTCCCCCTTCAGGTGGAAGGGGCGTTCATTCAGGGCATGGGACTGTACACCACCGAGGAGCTGAAATACTCTCCAGAAGGCATCCTGTACTCTCGAGGCCCTGACGAGTACAAAATCCCAGCCATCACCGACGTCCCGGAGGAGTTCAATGTCTCCTTGTTGCCGGCATCCCAATCCCCACTGACCATCTATTCTTCCAAGGTAAGCACCCATACCAGCCACGGTGCAGTGCGCGGGGTGAGGCAGCATAATAAACGAGGGCAGGTGGACAACATAAAAAATAAACGTCAACCCTTATCAAGGCCTAATCACGACAGACTGTTAGAATTTGGAGATGAATCACCTCGAGAAAAGGGAAATTCGGGGAAGATGAATGATCCACCCGATGGCCATCCTGGCCAAGGATTTGATTTATTAAATCCTCTTTCAGCAAGAACGCTTAACAAGCAGCCAAAAGCTTTGATTGGATAGAATAACATTTTCACTTAACCGGAAGACGAACGTATTACATGGGGATGAGGGTGCGATGCTACTGAAACCTTAAAGAGCAGCGGCAGCGTGAACAGAACCTGGGCCAGGCCTCGGGACACCTGGCTTTCTGCCCCAGCCCAACTCTGTGACATGGGACAATCACTCACACAGTTCCGAGGGGCTCAGGCCTCAGCCCCACCCCGAAATAATCTAAAGCCATGTTTCTCAGCGGGACAGGAAGGGTGGGGGGTTGCCCCTCAGGAAACATCTGGCAATGCCTGGAGATGTTTCTGGTTGTCACGATGACGATGGAGGAAGATGCTGCTTCTAGTGTGTAAAGGGCCAGGGATGCTGCTAACCAGCCCTCAGTGCACAAGACAGCCGTCCACAGCCACGAGTCATCGGGCCCCCATGCCAGCTGGGCCAGGAAGCCAAGACACCAGCCCTCGGCAATTGCTAAAGTCGTGAACTTGCGAATTAAAACAAAGGGTGGCGTGTGTTGGCGTTGCTGTGTGCAGGTTACAGGAGAGCCACCCTCGTAGTTGCAACTCCCTTTACATTTGAGATGCAGTATTAAATTTTTCTTTTAAACTCTTTTGGGAGACTTTGTATGAGAGATGGCAAATTAGTACCAAAATCAGTTCAATCTGCTGGAATCGCTTCATTTCCAAAATGGATCCCTCTTGCTGCCCAGGAGCTTTCCTGGGACATATGGTGATGGGGGTTTGGGGGTGCAATTTTTAAAGGAAGGCCAAGCAACAGGCCTTTGGGTTCTCTTCGGGATGGAAGTCATCATCAAAAAGGATGCTCAGAGCCCACAGGGAGCAGCTCTCAGGGCAGGCAGGACCCTTGGGTGCCCATGGTTATGGCCAGCCCCCCACAGGCAGACCTGCAGGGCAGTCATGGGTTTGCATGTGTGCCGGGAAGTGTATTATCAGCGGGGACCTACTAAGTTCCAGGTGCTGTGCCTTTGTGCCACCTGAATG